AATCACATGAGTTAACCTTTAGCCAGTAAAGCAAATACAAATGGCATTTTGTTGACCCTATTGTATGACACTATATATCTTCACTAACAGGAGCTTGATTTAGAAGCATGCAGACTTGTAGAGAAAGATGTAGTCTGACCCCTCCTATGTGGAATCAGGAATGTCTAAATTATGATCCAGTTCTAACATGAACTCCCTCATTGCCTTGGACAAATCACTTAACTTTTTCCACATGGCTTTCTGTATCTGTAAACAGAGATCATATTTACAGTATCTACACTTGCAGGGGTGTTGTGAAGATGAATTACTTAATGGTTGTAAAGTGTTTTGAAGGTGAAAAGCACTTTATACCCTAAGTGCTAATTGTTTATGACATGCCAGCTTCCTCTCCCCACACAGTTCTGATGGTGTCATCTTAACTCCCCTGTTGTACTGTAACAGTTCTCTATGGCAGTGGTTCTCAACCAGGGATATGTGTACCTCTGGAGGTACACACAGGTTTTCCAGGGGGTAGACCAACTCATCTAGGTATTTGCCTTTTTACAAGAAGTTACATAAAAAAGCACTAGTGAAATCAGTACAAACTAAAATTTCATACAGACAAATAACTTGTTTATACTCTATGCTCTATATACTGTACACTGAAATGTAAGTAGTACAATATTTATATTCCGGTTGATTTATTTTATAATTATATGGTAAACATGAGAAAGTAAGCAATTTTTCAGTAACACTTTTGTATTTTTATGTCTGATTTTGTAAGCAAGTAGTTTTTAAGTGAGGCAAAACTTGGGGCTACGCAAAACAAATCAGACTCCGGAAAGGGGTACAGTAGTCAGGAAAGGTTGAAAGCCACTGCTCGATGGTGCAGTGACTTATGTCATGTCATGTTTTCAGAATATTGTAATACCCAGCCACAATGGGCGTTACCCATGGTAGTCTCTGCCAATTGAGATGACAGTGTCTTTTTAGTCTCCCCCTGTTGGGACAATATTTCAGATAAGCTGAGGATGTCAGCCACATGGAGAGCTTTGTGTTAACAATAGTGAATTTTAGGGGAGGGGGGTTAACAAGTATTTTAACCACCAAAACTCCCCCTTCCCCCCGGACCAATTCTATACATAGCTTATGAGAAGATACCTTGATGATGACAGCAAATCACAGAGCAGCCAGAGGAATTCAGTCCTAGAATGGCCCTCAATTATATTAGAAGAAAGTAAGACATTTTTCTTCCTATAACTGAACCTCATGTTATGTTACTCTACCGTAGTTACTGTGCATTATAGTGAAAAACTAATGGGCACAATTTAATAGGAATATTTTACATTTAATACCTCATTTGTTTTTGAAGTGTTTTCCAAAAATGGCTAAATTTTATTATTATTAACTTGGAAAGTTGTCATTACAGTACTGTATTTTTAAAATCACTTTTACTCTCTGAGGACATCCAGTGAAGGGAGAGTCTTTATAAGCTAAAACAAACCAGGTAATAGATGGCATACATTCCCAAGGCAAAGTACAGAATACCCTTAACTTTCAGTGAAGTCAGAACTTTAATTGTCTTCCGTGGGGCCAGGGTTTCACCCTGAGAGTTGAATGCTGAGAACAGGAGTTACTGAGCCCTCAGCTTGCAAAGTCACCTATAAACAAAGACCCGTCTGCCTCTAATAATTCATCTCTGCCGTATTGCCAGCTAAAAAAGTTGAAAAATTGTGCATTAGGCCCCATAAAATCATGATGAGCTTAAAACCTGAGATGTTTAAAAATAAAAGTTGTTTGCCTTTTGGAGTTTGAGACTTTAGGATTCATATTTTTAAGGTTTCTCTGCATCTGTGGGGGCCAGAACACAGCAGCTCCCAGTGGAAAATAACTTCTTCGGTTCTGCCTTTTGCCCACCAGAGGGCACTGTGGCAATAGACCACAGCAGCCGCTGCCAGCCAGCGAGGGAAGAGAAAGCCTGCAGAGCCTTCTTCATAGCGCCTGTAGGCCAAGTCAGGAGACAGGACAGGGGTGGGAAAACTACGGCTTGTGGGCCGGATCTGGCCCGTCAGGGCTTTGGATCGGGATTGCCAGCCCCGTGGCCCAGCCAGGCTAACACTGGCTCCCTGCCTGCCCTGGCCCCGCGCCGCTCTTGGAAGCGGCCAGCAGCACATCCCTGTGGCCCCTGCGGGAGGGGTGGGGCAGAAGGCTCCGTGCTTTGCCCTCGTCTGCAGGCACAGCCCCCTGCAGCTCCCATTGGCCAGGAACGGGGAATCGCAGCCAATGGGAGCTTCGGGGGAGGTACCCAGAGGCTACGGCAGGGCAAGGACCCTCTGTCCCCTTCTCTCCCAGAGGCTGCAGGGACGTTGTGCCAGCCGCTTCTGAGAGTGGCGGGGGGCCAGGTCAGGCAGGGATCCTGTCTTAGCCCTGCTGCGCACTGCTGCCACCGTGGAGCCGCTCAAGGTAAGCAGCGTAGGCCAGAGCAGACTCCCGCACCCCTGCCCTGAGCCACCTCCAGCACCCCTCCTGCACCCCAACCCTCTGCCCTGAGCCCCCTGCTGCACCCTGCACCCCAAACCCCTGCCCTGAGCCCCCTCCCACACTCTTCACCCCTCCCTGCACCCCAACCCTCTGCCCTGAAGCCGCACCTGCACCCCAACCCCCGGCCCTGAGCCTCCTCCCACACTCTTCACCCATCCCTGCACCCCTGCCCTGAAGCTCCTCCTGCACCCCAACCCCGCACTCCCTCCTGCACACCAACCCCTGCCCCAGCCCTACATTAATGGCCCTGCATCCAATTTCCCCACGCAGATGTGGCCCTCTGGCCAAAAAGTTTGCCCACCCCTGGGCTATGGAGAGGCAGTGTGGCGTTGCTGGGGAAGTCACAGACAGGAGCTCATAAGGGCTACTAGGGGAGGACAAACTGGGGTAGGGGCTGAATGGGAGTGGGGGCACAGGGCCACGGGGGAGGGAAGTGCAGGGCCACATAGGGATGGGGGAGTGAGTGTCTGAGAGAGAGTGGAGGGACATGTGCCTGCCTGAATGGGAAAGGCTAGGGGTCAGCCAGGGTCTGCATGGGGGAAGCTCCCTAACAATCCCTCCCTGTGTCTCCCTGCACCACAAAAAAAACCCCACAACCTGTTCTATACTTTTCCCACCCATACCCAACAACGCTCCAAGTTCACAGCCAGGCTCCTTCCCAACAATTATTTCCCTATCCCTCATCTCCTTCGTAACCCCTGGCTCCCCCAAGCCTTTGCACTGCTTCTGGGGGATGCGGGAAATATGGTTCTGTATTGTAGTTTAAATGAACTATTACTTAGAGTTCTGTATTAATATACTTCGTAAGGAATCTATTTGTCAAAAAAAAATTTCTGAATCTTTTTTTGTTGTCTGTATTGTTACAGCCGTACTTGCTGACCGGTATTTTGAAATAAATTACCAAAAAATAATTGAAGCTGGTGTGACTATATTTTGTTATTTTGACAAACAAAATATGCAGAATGTTGTAGAATTTGAAAATATTGTGAGCAGAATTTTTAATTTTCTATTGCAGAATTTTTAATTTTTGGCGCAGAATTCCCCCAGGAGTAAAGATCAGGGAACAAGTGTGTAAATGTTAGATTTGACTTCCATTTTCCTAAACTTACCAAAGTCCAGGCTAGCATTTATAGACTTGGGTCTTGGTCCTGGAAACATGTATGCTTCATAGGGTTGATGCACATACTTAAAATTAAGCATGTGGATAATGTTTACAGAATTGGGACCTTGGATGCCTAAAGTTAGGCATCTAAATCTATATTTGGACACCTTAATAAGCTGCATGAATTTCAGGGGTGCTTGAGGATCTCCATCTGTCCCTGACTTCAATATGATTTTTAAAACCAATCCTGACCCAGGTAAAATTATGCAAACTAGTTAAGAACCCATGGTCTTTTGGTATCTTTCTTTCTTTGGTGAATTTCTTGTTGCTGGTCAAGCCATCATTTTTACAATATGTTGGTGATAATAATGGCACTGCTTGTTCCTGAGGGCTTGTCTACGCTTACTAAGGGGAGAGCTTAGGTACTCCACCTCCCTGAAAGGCAGTAGGTATGCTGACAGAAGAAGCCCTCCCCGTCAACATAGCATTGTCTACACTGGGGGTTAGGTCAGTATAACTGCATAGCAGCATAATTATATCCACATAAGTTTGTAGTGTTGAGCAGGGCTGAGATGAGAAGCTCTTGTATCAGACTCTCAGTGGTCTTAGCAACAGGTAACAAAGTCCAGAGTGGTTTATTATCTCTGTGTCATGGGAAAGATTCTGCAGTTAATGAGCTCTGGGTAGAGATCCAGGTTTCTTTACACTCACTTGAACAGAAGCAGCATACAAATTCAGAGTACGCAGATGTTCTCTGAGATATCTAAAATGATAAAAGTTGGCTGGGGGGCGATGTCGTGATGGTGTTTAAGGTAGCCAGACCCTGCTTTAGGTGCATTGGTGGGCAAGACACCCCACCTCCCCCATAGGTCTGGCCGTGACTTGGGGGAGGGGGGAAAAGAGCTGTTGGGGCGTTAGCCTGAGGGGGTGTGGTTTTGGGGGGTTACCTGGGCAGGGTGTCCCCCAGTAGCTTGGTGGGTGGGGGTGCATGAGGCAGAGAAGTTACAGGGGTGGGGGGTATCCTGCCCCCATGGTAGCCTACGGGGGGTGTAGGGGAGTTGTCTGGGCAGGACCCCCCCCCATAGCCTGGGGTACGAGGGAGGGGGCTGAAGGGGCAGGATTCCCCCCTGTCCCCATCGCCTGGGGGAGACAGGGTAGCCTGATGGGGGCTGTCAACGCCGGGTGCCCCCCAGCCCCTTGGCGGGGGAGTTGTGTGGGCAGAGCCCCCTCCCCGGCCCTGCTGTCTGGCCGGGCCCCGCCCACGCCCACGCCCCGCAGCCTGCGGCACCCCCCTGGCCCAACAGACCCGGGGCCGGCGGGCGGCCTCCCTCGGCGGCCGGGAGCTCGGGCCCCGCTGCCGCTGCCGCCCGGCCCGGCCCCGCCCCGGGGGCGGCGAGCTGGGCCCGGCCCCTCAGCGTGCGCCGGGTGGGGGCGGCGAGCTGCGGCCGGGCCCTCGCGAGCCGGCGGGGCGGCCGGTGAGTGCAGCGGCGGCGGCGGCGGCGGGGCCCGCGGCGGGGGGGGTGTCACACGGGGACCCCCCCAGGCTGGGCGCAAAGCCCGCGGCGTCCTCCCTGCGGCGGGGGGGCGGGCCGGAGCCAGCGATCTCCCCGGGCTGAGCGCGGCCGGGCGGGCCAGGGGTCCCCCAGGCAGGTGTCCTTGGGCGGAGCCCCCCTAGGTATTGGAAAGCCACCGGGGACCTAGGGGTGCGTGTGGGGGGGGGAATCTGTGGGGGGATCATAGAAACGTGGGGCTGGAAGGGGCCCTGAGAAGTCTCGTGTGTGTGAGTGTGATACACATTAGATGTCCTGGGCAATACCGTGATCAGTTTGGCTCACAGATCCCCTGCCATAGATGTGTGTCTCCCTCCCGTCTGGCGCGGGCATGGCCGAGGGAGAGCGATGTGCCGTTCTCACCGCCCCATCCTCGCGGCTGCCTATCCTGATGGTCAGCAAGGCTCCATTTGTTTGTGTCCCGTTGTGCCTAACACCGCCACTTTTTTGTAGAGAGAGAGAGAGAGCCTGGCCTCTGAGGACCTCCCTGTCCACTGCAAAGGCGCCCCACGAGGTAGGTGAAAATCATTCCCCCCCCCTCCCTCCCCCATTTTGCAGGTGGGGAAGCGGAGGCATAGAGGGCTGTCAGATTCAAATTGTGCGTCTTTAGTCACGTATAAAATAGAGCCAGCAGGTAGGGTGCCGCGTACCCATTGGGGAGGAGATTGGGTCCCTTTTCTGTATAAATGTTTGTTGTTTTAATGTTTTATTGTCCAAAGAGTGAATCCCAGACCTGCAAAGCAAGAGGCAGGCTAATATGCTGGATGCTGGAACATTAGCAGTGTGTTTGCTTTACATGTATTCGCTCTTGAAAGTCCCCCCCCCACACACACACACACACTCCACTATCTATTGTAATGTATCCATGCTGTTACTGTATTGATTGATGATCTAGGAAAAGAAGGGTGAGAAGCCTAACTGTATGCAAGCAAGTGAAAGCTTTCATTTCACCAGAGCATTAGCTACTATATATGGTGTTCCATTCTCCCAGAATTGTACAGTAAGCACTATGAAATGTAGTTTATGCATGTATTTTAGTGCTGATAGGCTTGTGTGAGTGTAGAAGAGAGAATGAGGAGAAAAAGGGAATCAAGGGAGGGAAAGGAAAAATGGAGAGGACCAAGACAGAGCATTTTCCACAAGTTCACAGGCAAAGAAACAAAGATTGTGCCAGAGAGAGAATTTATGGTTAGAAGTCTCTAGGCCAGGAGAGCATTTGGCCAGATCAGAGAGGAATAGGAAAGTCTCAGAGCACTGAGAAAGGAAAGAGCCATTGTGTAAACCGTTCTCTTAATGCATCTTGGTGGATTATATTTTCAACTGATGTTATCCTGCAATTAAATAGTCCTTTCAAACTTGGAGATAAATATATTGTGTTCCACCAACACTGAGGTCTAGCTGGCATTCATGAGAGAGAAAGATGCAGTTCTGAGGAAGAATTTTGTTCCTTTGTAAAATTCTTAAATTGAACACTTAGCTTAAAATGTTTGAGAAGCTGGCAGACAGGATGAGGGCATTTCCCTTTTTTATGGTCTTCATGTCTGGTGCCTTCCTATAACTGAATGCCCATCAGGGACAATGAACTATTTATCTCTTCATCCCTACATATAGTGTCATCTTTCTGTGCCAGGGTTTTATTTTTCTTTTGGCGCTGGCTTGGTTGTTGCTTTTCAGCCACACTTCCAAGTGAGGTAGACTGGCACGTTACTTTCACTTTCAGCCTAAACAAACAAACAAGCTAAATTGTAAATGACTATTCTACAGTCTAGCGTTTATTTGTTTTTTCAAGAAAGTCAGTGCAGTTGAAAGGCCATTTGGTGAAGAAAAATAACCTCTCTCAGCCCCTTCATCTTCTCTTTTTAGTACCGTCCTTGTGCTGCACTGATGTAAAAGTCCGCATCCCACATGTGACAATAACTTAGGAAGTCAGTAATTTTCTGGGCACTGTTTTGACTGAAACACCCCCAAGGCCAGGTAGTCTTGCTTCAAACCACTTCCTTTATCTGTGTTTGCGGGGAAGTCTGGTATATTCTCAGCTATCTGAAATGCAGTTTTATTTTATGCACTTTTGTAGTCCTCCATGAGGACACTTTACAAGAGGTAATATTAAGAATTAATTTAATGCTTTTGAAGTTATTTTTGCCCCTTAACTATAATTGGGTAATTTGGTTAATTACCCACTGAATGCATGGAAGTATTTTTACTATAATTGGTCTTAAATGACTATCTGATTAAATAGAAACTGCCAAACATATAGGCTACATTTTTATTGACCTTAAAAGAGAGTAAAGTCTCTGATAAAAGAGGGCATGCAGATTTAGTCTCCAGGTCTACAAACCCACAAGGAGTAAGTCAGCAGAACTGCTTGGCGGCAAAAGTGTTTGCAGAATCTGATGACTTCTGTAATGTTTGAAATTCAAGAGCAGAATTTAAACAACAGTGCAGATAAATACAACTAGCAATGCATGTTGTTACAACGCTGTTTTTCATTCAGTTTAAAGTAATTGACTTGAAAATCTCTAGAGAAATTTTATCTGCATGTTTCCCCATCAGGTCTAATTATTAACATAGGTTGGCCTTTAAAGAACTTTTGCTTTGTTTTTCTGTTAACAAAGGGGAAAAAATAGTGGAGTTTAAAATATAAGGTGGATTTGTTTTTTTAAATGCGATGCAACATATTCTAAATGGAATCCATCAGGGAAATTTGCTTTTCTGTGAACCTGCAAAAATGGCCCTTTAAGGCCCCAATGCTGCAACTGAATCTGTGTGGATGGACCCTTACAGCTTCATGTTGAAGTCAATGTGGTACTGCACAAATGCAAGAGTCTGCCTAGTTGGATTTGAATTCAGCATCAGGGCTAAGCAGGGAGTAGTCTTGTTCCCCCACCCTGACCCCCATACAAACCTGATATGTGCATCTGGCTACAAAGAGTGTATGTTACTTTGTTTTTGGTGCCACAAGCTAAAATAAATCATTTCAGCTTCATTGAGCCTGTCCTCTTGGTCAGATGATTTCTGTACTTGCAAAAGCAAGCTTCCATAGTTTATCATCATAGTTTAGTGAGTAACCTTAAACTACCTGGTGTCTAAAAGGTCAGAGAAAATGGACATTGTTACATGCACTTTGAGTGTATGGCAGAAAAAAAAATTTACCAGTCATAACTATAGCGCATGGAATATAAACCTAAATAGATAATTATTTTATTTTTATTATAACTCTGTCAACATTTGTTTTCTGGCGCAGAATTTGGGCAATGTCTATAATTGTTTACAATCTTTTAGTGGCAGAGCATCCCAATGCTATGGGCTCTGTTCGTTTCAGATAAGGTACTTGCCCAATGTTGTTCCCGTTCCTTTGGAAATAGAGTGCAGAGTTTATTGGCCCTCATGGAAGTTGCACATTTTTCATCCATCTATCGTTTTGAGTTGCCTCATTCTTACGTTGTCATATCCCTCTCCCCTTTTCCTTATAGTAGAGGATAGACATATTTTTACAAGTTATTAGCTAAGAGGGTGCTAAACCATGATACATGCTTCACCCTCCTCTTAAGGTTGCGGTGTCGTCTCTTTATGCTGTCAGCCACCGTTGGCTCACGGAGAAAGGGAGTGAAGGTGGTAATGCTAATCATTTAGAGTGGCTTATGTCTTTAAAGTGGTGTGCAAACATAAACCAATTCTCATAACATCATCAGTTATGGAGGTAACTATTGTAGTTCCTGTTTTACAACTGAGGAAATAGAGACACAAAGAGGTTAAGTGAGTTGCCCAAAGCCTGACAGCAAGTCAGTGGACTAAAAATCCAAGCGTGATCTCCAATCTTGTGTGTGGTCTACTAGATCAGATACCTCTCTGGAGCTGTTTGTTTGAAGAATGTGTTCAGATCTGCTTCTCCAAAGGACAGTGCACAGCACTCTTTTATACGAGATGATACTTTCAGTAGATTGAACAACTTTTATAATTGGATGCTTTTCTCTTCTTCCTTGCCTGCTGTGATCATAGTGAAGTAGTTAACAAAGCTGCCTTTTACATTATCATTAGGTTTCAGTTACTGCACTTTTGGGGTGAAGGGGGGTAGTTGACACCACTTAGAAGTATTGTTTCAGACTGTCTGCAAACACAGGCATGCCCCTCGCTGCATCATTTTATCCTTGGGTTTGAAGGTCTTTTCCATTAGGACTAGAGGTTTATTTATTTCTTTAATATGAAAACTTACTTGCTGGAATAGGAAATTGTATTCTCAAAAAGACATATCAGAATGCCAAGCTGCCATAAGGCAACCCAATGTGACATCTGTCTTGAAATTGCAAAATGTGTCTAGGGTGTGTATCTGTGCAAATGTCTTAATTTAATGTGGGATTGGGTTTACACAATGGAAAACAGTTTATCACTGGTATAGAACAATATAACTGGCACATGGTTTCTCTTTTTTACATGAAAAAAACTTGAATAGGTACGACTAATAGTTGTCACTTCAAATGCTTTTTTTTGTTTGTTTTGGTATGTTTTTAAAACAGGTAACTCTTGGAAAAATGGCCACAGAAACTGCAGGAGAGGCAGGAGTGTGGAGACAAACCAAAGCTCTCTTATTCAAGAACTACCTTGTTAAATGCAGGACTAAGAAGAGTAGTGTGCAGGTAGGTTACGTGGCCATTTATTGGCCTCTATGTCTGTGTCTGATTATGGTTGAAAAATTAGCTGACTTAGAAACAAAACTAAGCTTTGTTAAATTGTCTCTGATTATTGAGGGAATAACTGATTAGTTTGAGCTCAGGTTTGAAATATATTGGCTCCTTCAATCATACTTGTGATCCTTTGGCAAGAAATGCTTTATAGAAATAGTCTTGCCCTGTGTCTTTGTATCTGAATGTGGTAATTTCTGTTTCTCTATTCACTTTCTAGAGAGTATAACTGACCAATTGGGGTAAAATAACATTACTTATTTTAGGGCATTATCAGCATTATTTTACATGTAGTAAAATAATGCTGATAAAGTACGAGATTAAGTTTAGAATGGCTATTATTTGTCAGGGAAAGCTTGTTACTGATAAGAGCAATTAGGTAATAGAACTGCCTTTTGGAGTTCCTTGTAAGAACCATTCAAGCAAATGTTTGCAAATAGTTTAAATGATAATTAAGAATATAATGTTGTTGCGAATAACATCATCATAATACTTCAGAGTGCTATCTCATCATTCATCCTTGAATGTCAAAGCAAGTTATAAAACATTAATGAAGCCTTATAATACCCATTTTGCTGATGGGGAAATAGCTGCAGGCAGACTAAGTGGCCCACCCAGTGTCCGGTTGCAGGAGAGTTTCAGAACTAGAAAGAGCATTCACAGCTATAACCCGCCATTCCAGCACATGAACTATATAAATACACATAACTCTGGAAGTCAGGATTGAGAGGTGCCTTTGTGTAATTTTAACACGAGCCCAAAACATCACCACCGAACAATAAATCAATAAATGCAATGATTAAAATATTGTATTGGGAGTATTTGTGATATCATTTCTAAAATTTACCTATTTTAAAATTTTGCTGAACAGCTCTATTATGTGACGTACCTGGATTTTTAGGGGGATCTACAAGGGTCAACAAGACAACATTTAACTTATTTGTTTGGCAAGACCAGGCTTGGCTTCACTTGCTTAACTGTTCCAGGGCTGGAAATATATACGAGTTCTTTTTCATTTTCAGATCATGCAAATGTTAAGTTTATACCAAAAGCCAAATCATGTTCTAGATAAGAAACTAGACATCAAAACATCTGAAGCCAAATTCTGCCGTCCGCTTCATCCATGGAACTTCGTCAAGTTCAATGTAACTGAGCACAGAGATTGCTCTTTGGTTTATAACCTCTTAGGAGTTGGAATGGTGCACTTGCATCCTAAAATGGCTTCCCAAGTTATCACTGCAGGTTAGCAAAATCCCATGGCTATGTCACAGCAACAGCCAGCATTAAAATGATTATTTATGTAGTGCGATAAATGTGCAGGAAGCTTTACAATCAAATAATTTGAGAAGGACACAGTCACTTCTTGAAGCGTTTATAAGTTGAGTAAACTTCAGGAGAGATTTTTATTGTCGTCTTGTTTTTTGTTGTTGTTTTTTCAACAGGAAATCCTTTTTCCACTATTTTTTTTATTTTGGCTTATATTAATGAGCATGATGCATCCAAATCGGAAGTTTGGCGAGGTGCCCAATACTGAACTTGGTACTTTAGATCGCTCCATGCTCTTGGACTTCATTCTTGGATACACACCAGTGACAAATATGACAAGAAAAATCATGCAGAAAGTGTCTTTTGAATATTTTGCAGATGGTATTGTATTTATTTTATTCTTCCACATCTCATGTTCTTTTTTGTGTTTAGATGGAAAATATTATATTATTGCTTTGAATGGCTGATCAGACTTGTCCTCTTCAGGTAGATTAGACAGTATTTCTCCCCTCTACTGCTGAGATCTTGAAGGGGCTGTGATGTCATCATTGTCTGCTTCAGCTGATGAGCATTGTGTGATGCCAGTCATGTGCTCAGTCTTGCAGCCCTTCCTCACAGTAGGACCCTTTCCTCACACCAGTGGTCCCACTGAAGTCCAGGATGACTCATCTGAGTGAGGGGTTTCAGGATTGGGCTTAGTATCCTCAAACTCAAAAGGTTCTATCTCACGCTAACAGATACACTAAGAGCTGTTGTATGGTAAATTAAGGAAGACATCAGTTTATTTTAACTAGGGCTTTCAGGTTTAGATCCTGTGAGTAGCACCATGTCAATATCTGGTTTTGAAACTGATGAACAAAACACAGTTAAGTTGTGCCTCTTCTACAGAGCTGACACAGCTGTGCAGCTGACCCTGATTCTACCCCCAAAACCTCATATGAACTTGTAGCTTAGATGGTGCCTCTGGTATGAACTGATGTGACTGCCAAGAGGAAAAGAATCGCAGGTACCACAACCTGAAACTTTCATTTCCGTGGTTTCCTGATCTGCTGGTTTCAAGTTCTTTCTGATGAATTTCACATTTGGGAGTGATGCGTGGCTTCTTATCCCAACAATAAATGTTTTGAGTCCCTGCAAAATTTCACTTTTCATTTTTAACATGTATTTTCCTTTAAAAACGCATACAAAACTCGTCAAGTGCTGAGACTTAAATCCATGCTCCATTGAAGTGAATGGGAAATAGTCTCATAAATTTTAATGGGACCAAAATTTGGCCCTAAATACTGAAAACAAGTAGCCCTATTTAGAAATGACACAATCTTTGCTTAAAATACATAGTCCACTTTTGATTGTTCTTCTCACACAAGCATTCTGATATAATTCTATTTTTTAATATTTTGCAGGTGTAATTACAGAAGAATTTTTCAGTGAAAAAGAATTGCAAGAGGCTAGTACTGTTAACCCCTCAAACTTTGTTGGTGTAGTTTTCAAAGATTCTGTGTCCTACCAGCTTAGATTCTTTCCTGGTGCTGTCACAGTGTCGTCTATCAATGTAGAATCAAGAGGTAAATATACATGCTACTTTTAAGGCATTTAACTTGAAAATTTGACCTACTTTTGTTATGACATCACATGTGATGCTAAGTGCAGACTTTGCTACCTCACGTGTTATCACGAGAAAGCCAAAGAGCATTAACAGTGGTGGCTTTAGCATCAATACAATATGAAAGGGGGGGGGAAAGCTGGTTTTTCACTCTTTGGGGTATTTTGATGCACAGGAGATGTGCTGGACTGCGTTATTGATAGGGAAACTCCCACAAAAAGCTAGGAGTCATTTTCCTGTACTGGGAATTGGTTGCAGGGATAGTTAAGACACAAATGAAATCTGCATTAGGTGATCATCTTTCTGTATCAGTAATAATTTGGTTGTATTTATAGAGTGACAATGTTACATGTAAAAAACAAGTGGTGAAAACGTAGGGCAGTGGGAGTTTTTTAGCACCAGGATTTCAGCCTAGGTCCTTGCTTTGAGAAGCTCTGAAAAGTACAAAACAGCTCAAAACATGAGACACTCTAGTGATAGCCCCAGCATCTTCAGCAACTCCTCCACCACAAGAGTGTGTGTTCTTGCAGATAACCTTGTTTTCCTCTTACCTTTGTTTAAAAACACTGGAAAAATGTTCTTCAAAGGGTAAAGTGTGGACAGTCCAAATCTTAAAAAAAAAAAAAAATAGTGTGTATTTCATACACAGCTTTTCACCATTAGAAGATTGTCTTAAAGTTGTATTTTAATTCTAGGAATGATTACCTGTGAAGTTAGTAATTTCCCATGAAAATGTTATGATAGAATTCACAGTTCGGTCTCGTTCTCGCCATTTCATTTCCTTGGCTCTTTCAGTCCATGTGTGAATCTTTTTTGGAATCCTTTTTGTACTTTCATAACTGCAAAACAGTTTGGTTTTCATTAAAGTAACTTTGCAGGTTTCTGTCCATAGTAAAGAGGAGTGGTTCTCAATCTTCACCCGACAAAGTGGCTGAAAAATTATCCTGTGATTGGTTGTATCCTATTATTCTTGTAATAGTAGCCATCGGTTTGTGATGTTGTCGTTGGCTTTATGGTATATCTATCAAGTTTTATGTCTGCTTTAGAGAAAAATGTCTTTTTATTATAGTGCTTTAAATGAGATTTTGTTGGCTTTAAAATGTCTTTATTTTTCCATAGCCAGTTGTTCCAGTTTATCAAAGGGATGTGAATCTGTTACATACTGGTACTCGGGATTTGCAGCTCTACAGGCTTGTATCGATGCAGCAATAATACAGGTAAATCTAGAGAAGTAAAGTGAAAAGGCAAAATTGCTTAAATAGCTTTTGATTCGGTATTCTTGTAATGAGATTTTTTTTTTGTCTTGTTAGGCTGTATCTACTCTACAGCCTATGTCGGCAACACTTATGTCGCTCAGTGGTGTGAATATCCCTCTCCCCCCGAGCAATGTAAATTAAACCAGCATAAGCGCTTGTGTGCACAGCACTATGTCAGCAGGACACAGCTTCTGCCCCTTGCAGAGATGGGTTTTTTTATGCCGAGCTCTCTCCCGTCAGCACAGAGTATCTTCACCAGACACACTGCAGAGGCACAGTGCATCAGTACCGCTGTGCTGCGGCGGCATTGTATGTAGAGACATGGCGTTAGTTTCTTGATATGAAATAGGGTTCTAAAATTGGTCTACAACTGATTAACAAAATGTTTCCTGAGAGGTGGGGGTGGGGTAATATCTTTTATTGGACCAACTTCTGGAGGTGAAGGAACTTTCAATCTCTTCTTCAGGTCTGAGAAGGTAATTAGAGTGTTACAGCTAAATAAAAGGTTGACCTTACTTGTTACGTATACTTATAGTATACGTATACTTGATACTATACTTGTTACGTATAAGGAGTAGCGCATGTTGTAAGAAACCATTCAAAATGAAGTGAGCAATTAACACCTCTGCAGTCATCGGACAGTGTAGAATTAGTGGGCTACAGATTGTTATATTGAGAGATAAAATCAGTGCCTATTGAATCCGTGTCTTTTGGTGTCTGGCAGAGTTATGCATTTAAGCTCCGTGGCTCATCTTTTGAAGGTGTTGCTCAGGTTTCCTTTGAGGACAAGGACTGAGAGGGCAGGTATGGTGTAATTGTTTTGTGAGAAGCGTTTGCACACAGGTGATGGGTCTTTTATTATTTTTCTGCAAGAGTTCATTCATGAGTGTAGTGATTGCGTGGTTTAACCTGCATGGTTGTTGTTGGGGCATTTGATGAACTGCATCACATATGATAGGCATGTGTAGGACCTATGGATCTTGAAAGGTGTATTGTGGGGGGTATTGATCATTGTGGCAGTGGAAATATGGCTGCAGGTTTTGCATCTATTGCTAAGGTAGGGTCTGGTGCTGCTTCAAGTTAGTGTTTCCTGGTCTGTGAGGAACTTGCTTCTGATGATGAGATTGGCAAGGGTTGGGGTGATGTTTGAAGGCTAGAAGAGGGGTTCAGGAAAGATTTCTTTCAAGATATGTTCCCCTTCGACTTTCTTGCGTTTTTGTAATATTTTTGCACCAACGAGTGTTCACATCTAAATGAACGGCACTACTGATTGTACATTGTTATGCATCTAAATATGTGAGTGTGATGTGTATGCAGTGGCAGTCATTAAATGTTAGCACTTGCCAACAGTTATCACAGAATGGTATTTGGGCTAAGGTAGCAAGGTAAGCAAGGGTTTTTCTTGCTCTGGTGGCTCAATCTTCTGTATCTATTTTATATGGTCTGTCATTAAATGTGAGCCTTTTAAATTTTTGATTGACTTAATGCTGCAACTTATTTCTGTTTAAAAATAAATGGTTTGCCAGCACTGGTTTGTAACGAGGGATTGTTTTAATGGATGCACACTTAATACCAGTTTGAGTGGCGATTGGTAGGAAGCCATGTGTCCCCCTACTGATGGATTTCTAAAAGGTTTGGGACAGAAGGCGTAAACTAAACAGATTTTTGGTAGCCAAGAAATTGGGGATAATTCTCATTCCACAAAACACATTTTTAATCCAATCATATTGTAACTGTATGAACTGTATTCAGTGTCGGAATTAAGACCTAGCTGTTAGTGGGGGTTGTAGTTATGTTATTTTGAATGGAACTTCTCTGAGAGCTGTGTGTTGGTGATACAGCAAGCTTACACCTCGTATAGCTAAAAAGATGCCTAGAAAAATCTTAAGTTAGAGAGTAGCTCCCATGGCAGACCCTAAGGACGTGAAAACTTTGGACTGTGTATCTAAGATACATAAAGCTTTTGCAGAAGAAAAGTGACAGATATGGAAATTTTGAAAGGCAGCGTTACTTACCCCCATTGCTTTACTTTTGGATTCTTTACAATATGTACCGTAAATAATCACATTGCATTGGTAATATCAGTGGGGAAATGTCAATTAGCATTGAATGCAGTTAGTGCTTTGCCACAGCCCTGTTCACTTTTGATGACTGCAGTAGTTAAGATCTTGAACATAACACCATTTTCTAAAAGTTCCTAGTGGGGAGCGTGTAATAGTTCTCACAAGTTGAGGTTTTGAGCTTTTCTGTAATAATCAGACATGCCAGTCTGGACAGTGGGTACCCTGGTGTCCTACTAGCAAATGTCAGCTTTCTCTAAAGGGGGTTAATCCAATTGAGTATGCCAGTCTTGCAGTGGGATGAAGCTTCTACCTTGCTGAACTAAAGTTCTTAATTGTTTTACTACCTAACATCCGTTTAAGTGATATAGGGTGGCATGGATTGGTTTGATTTGTTCCTGGTCAGTGTTTGTTTTGAATTCTATTCCACTACTTCTTTCTAGTTCTAGTTGCTATTTGACAAATTCTTGCACAGGTCAGTCCCCTTATTAGGAGATGGACATCCTAAAGTTTTTTGTTCACTCGCTTTCTCCATCGTCCCATAGAAGGTCATGTTTCCCTCCTTTTTGAACTATGATATTCTGGGACTTCGTGCGATTTAGGCCCCAGACCTACGCACACACAAGCACGTATTTAAAGTCTCAGGGAAGTCTGTGAGCCTACTTATGTCAGTAAAGTTTGGTATGTGTGTAAATGCCTCCAGGATTGGATCTTACATTAACAGGTGAATGCTTTTTGGGGGTATTTGGGGGTTGGTTTGTTTTTTTTTTCGGTTGGTGGAGCTGTAAAATCAAAACTGATTAAAATATTCTTTCACTTTGTTCTTAGCTGAAGACTAATCATTCAGTTTGGGAAGAACTGGAATCAACTAAAGCTATTATTATGGGAGAGGCTGCTGATATGAAAATTGATTATTTTCCTCGAGCAATTATTTTAATTTACCTAGTAATAGCTTTCTCACCCTTTGGGTACTATTTGGCAATTCATATTGTGGCAGAAAAGGAGAAGAAGTTGAAGGAATTTTTAAAGATAATGGGCCTTCATGACACTGCCTTTTGGTATGTGAGTATACAACAAAACTCTTATTCTAAATAAATAGGGTAAATGTTATTTTATAATAAATCTTTAAAATTCACCAGTTGGTTACTGTTAATCTTCTTTTTAGGCTATTGTAGTATTGATGAGAATGTTGGGCAAGCCTTGCTTAAACACATTTATAATAGCATAAAGTTTGTTCCTGTTTGAAAAGCAAATGTCATAATGATGATGCTTCATCTAAAACCTCATATAGATTTCCATTATTCTTCTGCTTTATATTACAGAAATGTAGGACTGGAAGGGACCTCGACAGGTCAGCTAGTCCAGTCCCCCGCACTGAGGCAGGACTAAGTATTATCTAGACCATCCTTGAGAGGTGTTTGTCTAACCTGTTCTTAAAAACCTCCAATGCTGGAGATTCCACATATTTCCTGAAAGGTGGTGCTCAGGACAGGACACAATACTCCAGTTGAGGCCTTACCAGTGCTGAACAGAGTGGAAGAATTTCTTCTCATGTCTTGCTTATAACATTCCTGCTAATAGATCGCAGAATGATATTTGCTTTTTTTGCAGCAGTATTACATTGTTGACTCATATTTAGTTTATGATCCACTATAACCCCAGATCCTTTTCCGCAGCACTCCTTCCTCAGCAGTCATTTCGCATTTTGTGTTTGTGCAGTTGAACATTCCTTCCTAATTGGCCATATAGAAATCCCTCAAAAATACACTAGATGCCTGATGTGAATAAATAAGATGCTACATGCATGAGCTATATTTTTTCCTCCTTTTAACTCAGTAACTCCTTTTTCCTGATGTTGATGTTGGACAAGTGACAGTCTCCTTTCCACTCACATTAGTTCCAGTATGTGGACTAGATGAATACTGCTGTAGTATTGTGACCTATGTGAGAGAGAAATCTGTGCAGAAGACATTCAGATTTTAAAGTGCATCCTCTTTAATGATTGGTATTCTACCATGTAATGCCTATTCTTCCATGTCACGGGTGTGCTCATTTTAATACAGTATGGTTATAGGGGAACAAATGAGCTTAGCTTAGTTTTGCATGCCCAGTAATGGTGGCCACTGGTGTACTAGAGCTGTATCCTGCAAAAAGCTACCACCAAATATAATCCTTTTTTACTATGAATAGTTCAGTTGGATTGTTCTCAATAATAAATGCTGTTTGCATGATCAAGCCCTTAATTGAGAATATTAGCAGACTACTTTCTCCCCACCCCCCCAGTCACTATTTCTTGATACATGTGGCCAAGTCACTTCCCTTCGCTGCTTTAGGGAACCTCTCTGTCAAATGCATCCCTGCAGACATGTTACTTAAGTGGTGTTTGTGCAGCATTTTGAAAATTGGAAGCACTATAAAAGGGCTAAAGGAGTGAGTTGTTAGCTAAGTAAATATGTCACACTTCTTATCCTTTTACAGGCTGCATCTGTTCCCTAAGAAGGAAATTGTTCTCTGACTTTTCAACAAAGTTTATTTTATATAGAGGAATATTGTATTACTGGACTGACTAGGGCATTAAAATTTAAGTAGCATTTTCTTTAATTATTAAAAGCTGCTCCTCACTGACTCTCTTTCAATTAAATGAGGGAATTAATTATGGAAATTACAAAATTGTAGATTGAGAACAATGTTTTGCTTTATTTTGATGCAATTAGTATGAAAGTACATGCAATGATGCTTAGAATAATATTTGCACTTAGAGACCTCCTTTCCTCTGAGACTCTGGCACATTGTTTTGCTTCCCTTTTGTGCAGCATTCTGGAATATTAAAGAATTGTAACTTTGAATTATTCCAGTACAATAATTTAGTTAATGTAGGAATTTTCCCTTTTTTTCCTTTTCTTCCAGGCTGTCTTGGGTTCTGCTGTACACAACTCTGATTTTTGTCATGTCCATTCTCATGGCAGTCATTGCAACAGCCTCCTCACTATTTCCCCAAAGTAGCTCCTTCGTGATATTTCTTCTTTTTTTCCTATATGGAATATCCTCAGTAAGTGTTTCGTGAATTCAGTTTGTCTGTGGTTCATTGAGGTCACTCTCCCCAGTGTGCTTCTTCCCATCCGCTGTTTTCCCCCATTCTAGACATGTTTCCAATGCACTTTTTCCTACCCCAAATGGTAAACAAGTGCCTTTATCACACCATTCTCTTTATTCTCACAATTGTTTTGGGAGTTTTTATGTAGCTTCTCATGTCACGTACTCAGGTGGCCACTTGAACCTCACAGTATTTGAATTTACACACGTATTTACTAAATCTCTTATGATTTGAATAGGAGATACCACAGATGCAGAAATGTACTAAAATCAAATATCATGGGATTTTTTAAAAGGTTTCAGAGTAACAGCCGTGTTAGTCTGTATTCGCAAAAAGAAAAGGAGTACTTGTGGCACCTTAGAGACTAACCAATTTATTTGAGCATAAGCTTTCGTGAGCTACAGCTCACTTCATCGGATGCATACTGTGGAAAGTGTAGAAGATCTTTTTATATACACACATACTCATGCTTTGTGTGTATATAAAAAGATCTTCTACACTTTCCACAGTATGCATCCGATGAAGTGAGCTGTAGCTCACGAAAGCTTATGCTCAAATAAATTGGTTAGTCTCTAAGGTGCCACAAGTACTCCTTTTCTTTTTTTAAAAGGTTTATTATTCCTGCTTATTTTACCCCACTACTTCATGTATGGCTCAGTCTCCCAAAATGCCAACTACTCTGGTTTGTGGTGGTGGTATAGCCGTGTTGGTCCCAGCATATGAGAGACACAAGATAGGTGTGGTAAAAATCTTTATTAGACCTACTTCTGTTGGTGGAAGGGAGAAACTTTTAAACTTCGCAGAGCTCTCCTTCACCCAAGAATTGAAGGATATCATCAAACCCTTCTCCAAACAACTTCAAGAGAAACTTTACAACTTCATACCCCACAAACCCACCCCAGGGACCATCTGCATGTTCTGCAAGATACAATGGGTCTGCTTGGATTTCCTTGTTTGTGTATCTGGCCACAATCCTGTTACTGAGCAAATATCAGGACTTATAGAAACCATCCTCAAACCACTCACCATTAAAAGGGCCAGCTTCCTCCAGAAACTATGCCACATTAACAGCCTCCTTCAGAACACTGTCCTTGCCACCATGGATGTCCTCTCCCTGTACACCAACATCCCTCACTATTACGCCACCGCTGTCTGCTTCAAATATCTACAAGACAATGGACAATGCTCAGCAATCCACCTCAAACACATTTTCAATCTCATCCATTTCATCCTTACCCATAAGAAGTTTACATTTAACAACAAACACTTTGTTTATACCATGAGTACAGCCATGGATACTAGGACAGCTCCACAATATGCCAACCTCTTTGTGGGCCACCTTGAAGAAGAATCTCTGGGAAAATGCACCACAAAAACATGTACCTGAAATACATTAATGATATTTTCATCCTCTGGACAAATGACCCAAACTCCCTCGGATTTCCACACCTACCACCTGTCTATCAAACTCTCTGTAGAACACTCCCATATCAGCATCAATTTCTGGGATACACCAAGAAATCTGTTATCTACAGCCAGGCACTCAGATTCCAGATAACATGCTCCAAAAGAGAGAGCCCAGGATACACACCTCCACACATTTAAACTTCCTTTACTAACCAAGGACACTCCGCCAGAGAAGTAGGTGACATCATAGAATGGGCCACCCAGGTACCCTGGGAGAACATGTTACAGTACAGCAGAAAAAAACAAACACCAACTGCACAGCCCTGCTTGTCACCTGCCACTCTACATCAGAACCTGTACAGGTATCATCAAACACGTAGAACCCATGCTCAATTGGAACCCCATCCTGAAAGAATGGCATGACACACCAACTCAAAGTGGCACCAAACCCTGCCAGAACAACAAATGCAAAATGTGCAGCCACATCTCCACTGCTACAATGATCAATATCCCCACAACTAACCTTTTCGAGATCCATGGGTCCTACACATGCCTATCGCAGCATGTGGTGTACCTCATCCAGTGTATCAAATGCCCCAATAACTACTATGTGGGTGAAATGAGACAATCACTATGCTCTCTAATGAACTCACACAGGATGTTTTTGTCTTTTATCATTTTTCTATCACCTATGGGCAAAATAGGTGGGCCTTTCACAAAATGATCACTCTATCTGACCTCTCAGACCTTGTTCTCAACGGAAACCTTCACAATACCTTCAAAAGACAAGCCTGGGAACTTAAATTCATTACTCTGCAGCACACTAAAAATCATGGACTTAATAGAGGCACTGGTTTTATGGCTCATTACATCAATTTGTCACACTCCCTGCTTCCTACTAACCCTCCAGGGTCCTCCTATTGCAGAGTTGCTAATTGTCCACTTCATTTTAAGTGATCTCCTACAACATGCATGAACCCCTATGCTTAACAGTCTGTCCCACCTTGTATTTAGCTGGGTTACCTTCTCCACACCTGAAGAAGAGCTATGTAAAATCCCAAAGCTTGTCAGTTCAACCAACAGAAGTTGATCCAATAAAAGATATTCCCTCCACCTGCCTTGTCTCTCCCTAGTACTCAGGTCTCAATCCAGCGAACCACTTAAGCACATTCTTAACTTCAAGTACCTGAGCAGTTATATGGACGTTAGTGGGACTAGTAATGTGCTTAAAGTTAAGCGCAGGATCGAGTGCTTTGCTAGAATCGGGGCCAGAGTATTCAGCATCTTGCGGGACTGAGCCTCTAATGAAGGAAGAGTTCCAGTTGGCAGCATCCCAACACAGGCAGTCAGGACCAAGGGTCAGAGCAGGGGCAGACCTGAGGCAGGGAATAGCGAAGGAGCGCATAGTCAGGGTTGATACCATGAGTCAGAATCCGAGTCAGGTTTCAGAGTCTGAGTCAGAAGCTGAAGTCCAAAGGAAGCCGAGGTAGAAGCCACAAGTTCAGGAGCAAGGAATGGTTGGGGCAGCTACAGGGAATCTGCGTTGTTGCCTGGACACTTCCTGGCATGCCCCTTAGATTTGTATAGGGCTGGGATCCAATCAGGAGTCGTGGGGCTGCTCTCTGTCACATCTGTTGAGGCGGGGTTTCCCACGATCTGTGTCCACAGTGGATCCTGGGCTGTGGAGTGCAAGCTGGTCACAGCTGCCGCTAATTGGCAGCATGGAGATGTCAGCAGCAGCACTGCAGGCCTGAGTTCTAGACCCCTGGGGCCTTATGTTTGTTTTGTGCTGACTCTCAACTTCCCATATTTTGTCTTCTCCAAACTTTGCAAAATATTGTACTATGTTCCTTGTACTCTGCAATTGTAGATCACTTGAATAACATTGTGACCCTGACTGAAGCTTGGCGATTCCACTTTGTTACGGTCTGAATCTGTACAAGTCACTTAGAGTATTTTAAACAGTTGCAATATTATTTATTATAATTTCTTAATTTATGATTGGAAAAGTTTAATAATGTGAAGAACTTTGAAGTATGTCTCCCTTAATTTATTGTTTAATACTTCAGTTCTTCATTCTGTGACACGGACAATATTAGGAAATCAGTTGTATTGCTGAAGGCCTATTGTTACCAAATGAGGTATTGATATTAACAGGGATAAAGTCTTGGCAAAGCATTGCAATTATTGTAAACGGAAAGTAACTTGTTCATTGAAGATAAAAATGTTAATTGCAGCATTTCTATGCCAGATCTCTTGTGCTCTGCAGTGATGTTCTGATTTGTATTCTAGGTTTTCTTTGCTTTCATGCTGACGACTCTATTTAAAAAATCAAAGCATGTGGGTGTAGTTGAATTTTTGGCAACCCTGGCTTTTGGTTTTGTGGGTCTCACTATTGTCCTGCTGGATGATTTTCCGAAGTCTTTTGTATGGACCCTAAGCCCCTTGTGTCAGTGTACGTTCTTGATTGGGATTGCACAGGTAAGTAAACTGGGTGTTATTCTTTACTACCTTTGCATGCACAAACAAATGAAGAGTAACTTGATATGATATAAGATCTAGCTAAGATAATTAGGAGGCTCCCATCACCATCACCATAGCCTTAATGTATTTGTTTTCACAATACCCCTGTGAGATAGGGAAGCGCGGCTATCCCCATTTTACAGAGGAGGAGCTGAGACAGAGAAGGTAAGTGACTTGCGAAGGTCATACAAGAAGTCTGTTGCAGAGTAAGGAATTGAGCCTGGGACTTTCAGGTGCCTGTCTAGCACCCTAATTACTTCCTCTTTAGGATGTAACTTTTCTTTCCTATTTAAGAATGTCTAACTGTGGTCTGTAATGTATGTAATGTTTCACTTAAATCAGCCTCTGTACCAGATGACTGGAAGGGAGCTAAGGTAACACCTATTATTAATAAGGGTCCAGAGGCGACCCTGGCAATTACAGGCCGGTAAACCTAACTTCAATACCAGACAAATTGGTCGAAACTATAGTCAACAACAGAATTATCAGACACATAGATAAACACGGCGTGCTGGGGAAGAGTCAGCATGGCTTTTGTAAAAGGAGATCATGCCTCACCAATCTATCAGAATTCTTTGAAGGAGTCAATAAGCATGTGAACAAGAATGATCCGATCTATGTAGTTTACTTGGCTTTTCAGAATGCCTTTGACAAGGTCCCTCACCAAAGGATCTTAAGCAAAGTAAGCAGTCATGGGAATAGAAGGAAGGTCCTCTCATGGATCGGTAACTGGTTAGAAGATAGGAAAGAAAGGGTAGGGATACCTAGGGAGGTGGTGGAATCTCCATTGTTAAAGGTTTTTAAGGCCCAGCTTGACAAAGCCATGGCTGGGATGATGTAATTGGTGTTGGTCCTGCTTTGAGTAGGGGATTGAACTAGATGACCTCCTGAGGTTTCTTCCATTCTATGATAAGTTTTCACAATGAAGAGAGGTAAATAGTGGGGTTCCCTGATGATCTGTACTGGAACTTGTGGTATTCAACATCTTCACAAATGATCTGGAAAAGGGGTTGGAGGGTGAAGTGGCAGAATTTGCCACGATACAAAATTATTCAAGATAGTTAAGTCCAAAGCAGACTGAGAAGAGTTACCAAGGGATCTGACAAAATTGGATGACTGGGCAACAAAATGGCAGATGAAATTCAGTGTTGATAAGTGCAAAGTAATGCACGTTGGAAAAAATAATCCCAGTTATACATACAAAAGGATAGGGTTTAAATTAGCTGTTGCCACAGGTCTTGAAGTCATTGTGGATAGTTCTCTGAAAACTTCTGGTCAGTGTGTAATGGCAATCAAAAAAGCTAAGAGAATGTTAAGAACCATTAAGAAAGGGTTAAATAATAAAACAGAAATATCATAATGCTGCTATATAAATCCATGGTGCACCCACAACTTGAATACTGTGTGCAGTTGTGGTCACCCCATCTCAAAAAGATATACTGGAATTGGAAAAGGTGTGGAGAAGGGTAGCGAAAATGATTAGGGTATGGAGGGATTAAAAAGATTGGGACTGTTCATTTTAGAAAAAAGATGATTAAGGAGGGATATGATAGAGGTCTATTAAATTGTGATAGGTATGGAGGAAGTGAATAGAGGAATGCTGTTTACCCCTTCACCTAACACACAAACTAGGGATTACCTAGTGAAATTGATAGGCAATAGGTTTAAAACACAAAAGGAAGTACTTCTTCACACAACTCACAGTTAACCTGTGGAACTTGTTGCCAGGGGATGTTGTGAAGACCAAAAGTGCCACTGGGTTTAAAAAAGAGTTAGATAAATTCATGGAGGATAGGTCCATCAATGGCTGTTAGCCAAGATGGTCAGGGACACAACCCTGTGCTCCGGGTGTCCCTAAACCTCTGACTGGTTGAAGCATCTGGCACTGGCCACTGTCAGAGACAGGATACTGGGCTAGATGGACCATTGGTCTGACCCGGTGTGGCTGTTGTTATTTAATATATAACTTTTACTTGTCAAGTTACTAATACACTGCAAATATTTGTCTTACCTCAATTTCAAATATTTTAAATAGTTTAATTTTTTTCTATAAATTTGTGAATTTTTTATTTTTTATTTATGGCACAAAGTATGACTTTTATAATTCCCTACAGCAAACAACTTAATATGAACTAAAATACTGTGTGCCATTATTTTTTTTTCTTTTGAAACTAGCATTTCATCCTCTTTGCATTTGTTACCATGACAACCGCCCACGCTTAGTTCTTATATAATATTACTTTGTAATTTTATTTTTGTACTGTGTTGTCATGTTTAATTTCAGGTTGATGAAAATACAGTTTGTAGTAGCTAAACTTTTTCATGTTGGTTTGCAGGTCATGCATCTGGAAGATTATCAAGATGGTGCAATATTTTCAAATTTAAATCACGGTCCTTATCCACTAGTTATTTCTCTTATTTTACTGGTTCTGGATAGCATGTTTTACCTACTTCTAGCTGTCTATCTTGATCAGGTCATTCCAGGTATGTTGTTTAGAATCTGAGATAAATATTGAACAGAACCACATAGGTCCTGAATTTCACAACTCCACTTGAAGTCTGTGGCAGCTTTGGGTGCTAAGCGCTTCTGAAAACCAGACCCTTAATTGATGGCTCTAACATACTGTATTTAAATAAAGTGTCCAAGACACTTTGGTATATAGTAATGCCACTTTCTATGTTTTTTTGCTTTAACTTCATGTAAAGCAACACTCATGTCAGGCAAAAAGATGAGAAGTGTGGCTGTTAAATATTTATAAATGTATTTATAAATTACTTATATTTTAAAGTAATATTTATGATTTTTCATTCAAATGAATTTTACTTTTCTGAAATATGCTAATGAAGTGGAAAAAAACCACACAGATTGGGATTTGATTCTGCTTGGTTATATTTTGTTATATCTATTTTGTAGTCGCCCCTTCTCAAAAAAGATATATTTGAATTGGAAAAGGTTCAGAAAAGGGCAACAAAAATGATTAGGGGTATGGCATGTCTGCCACATGAGGAGAGATTAATAAGACTGGGACTTTCCATCTTGGAAAACAGACAATTAAGGGGGGATGTGATAGAGGTCTATAAAATCATGACCGGTGTGAAGAAAGTAAATAAGGAAGTGTTATTTACTCCTTCTCATAACACAAGAACTAGGGGTCACCAAATGAAATTAATAGGCAGCAGGTTTAAAACAAACAAAAGGAAGTATTTTTTCACACAACGCACAGTCAACCTGTGGAACTCCTTGCCACAGGATGTTGTGTGAAGGCCAAGACTATAACGGGGTTCAAAAAAGAACTAGATAAATTAATGGAGGATAGGTCCATCAATGGCTATTAGCCAGGATGGGCAGGGATGGTGTCCCTAGTCTCTGTTTGTCAGAAGCTGGGAATGGGTGACAGGAGATGGATCACTTGATGATTACCTGTTCTGTTCATTCCCTCTGGGACACCTGGCACTGGCCACTGTCAGAAGACAGGATACTGGGCTAGATGGACCTTTGGTCTGACCCCGTATGTTCTTATTATTGTTCCAGAATAATTTTCTTTCCTTATTGACCAAGCTGTTATCACAGTCTTTGCAATTGTTGTTCTTGGGAATTGTGTCTGTCCAAGATGTTATGTTAAGTTATTGATGTGTTCATAAATGTGATACACCTGGGAACAAATGTATTAATACCTATGAACAAATTTCTCTCTACTGCATGTGTGAGATCTTTCAATACAAATTCCTTTGCTTCTAATCTTTTTCTCTGTGATGTGGGTATATAAATCACTCTTCTCAAGATCCTAATTCTGAAAAGTATTTAAGTACTTGCATAAATCCATCACTTCTCAGCAAAACACTTAAGGATAGACTTTGCTGAATAGGGATGCTTTCCTTAATCAGAACCATAGTGATGGGTTTAATGATAAGCAATGTGGCATGATCAGGCCCAGTTTTCTTAGCCAAAATCCAAACACTGAGTCATATCTGTTCTTAACATTCAGAAGGCTTGCTTTCTTTCTTTCTTATTGCTTAGGTGAGTTTGGATTAAGACGGCCATCATTTTTCTTTATGAAGCCCTCGTTTTGGTCAAAGCGCAGAAGAAATTACAAGGAGTTATATGAGAGTAGTGTTAATGGAAGCTTAAGTTTCAGTGAGATGGTTGAACCTGTATCTTCAGAATTTCAGGGAAAAGAAGCTATCAGGTATAACTTCCTGCAATGGTACAGATTTATTGTCGTACTTCCCCTGTTTTGTGTGTGCCTGGGAATTAACAGTAATTTTTAATCTGTTGATTCAAATAGCATATGGTATGCATTACATCTAGTTCTTTACACGTTAAAGTAGCAATTGTCCATTTTCTGTGAAGCCACATCTTCCATTATATGGATGTTTTCCAAAGATGACAAAGTTGGTTTTGGAAAAGGAAATGTTTAACCTACTGTATGTAAATCAAACCAAACCTTCTGAAAATAGTCCTAGTCTAGCAGGATGAAGCCACATGAAATCCAGGTTCTTTGGTTTCAGTGATGCCATAAATGATTTCAGATGCTGAAGTCAGGTGGGTTTACAGTTCAAGAAAAAAAGACTTTCTCTGTTAAATCTTGAAAACTGGATTCAGATATGTTTTGTAAATCCCTTTTGGTATTTATGTGAAGAATTGCACATTCCACCAAAGCCACACAGGGGAGCCACTAGACTAGCTTTACAACAACACTGTAAAAGCGATCCATTTCCAGCACCTTTTGCAGTCCATGTGGAAAATGACATTAATTCTCTTAAATCTGTACCTTCGTATATTCCCAATATTTTAATATAAGCGTTTATTCTGGATCATCCATATGAGCTATTAAATCACTGTTATAGTGGCATGATAGACATTGGGAAATAATCTAAATCTCCATTTTTTTACATGGTTCCATTAGTCTCAAACAAAAATATTTGTGTTCAGTAGCCAGAATCAGACCGATTTTTTTTTTTTTTTTGGTTAATGTCTTAAAAAGTTGTTTTGAATAAATCCACTTCAGTGTGAAGAATCAGGTTTTCTCCCCAGATCGTCCTAAGCTCATATAAAATGCTGGATCATTCTTACTCCTTAGCTGATTCCACATCAACCAACGCTTTCCCCTTTGTCACTGATGTCAGCACCATCCTCCCATATCTGTGATCTTCTCACACAAAGATTTCATACCCTTTCCCCCTACCTTGCTCTCTACACATAGATCACACCTCCTGACTTTATCTGTACGGCCACTGCTCTTTCTGAGTTCATATAGTTCTCAAAGACCAACTTCTGTCCTGGCGCCTTTGGAGAAACTAGCTGAACTACCTTTATCTGAATAAGTTTGAGGCGTAATTGCGGGGGGAGGACAGGGATTTCATATAGCCTCTTTAGGAGAGGAAAAACATACTGTGGTTAACTTTAGTCTTACTTACCGCCACTTTGTCCACTACATTTCACCTCTTCCGTCTACCATCTGTCTGTCTCCTGTGAGCTAACTGGGGCATAGACTCATAGAATGGGCCTTCTATTCTGTTTAGAAACTGCCTAGTACATTGTTGGTGCTATGAGAAATAAATAACAGTATGGGTTACTTAGCGAATTATTCGGCTGCCATGGTAGAAAATACTGAAGTCCATGAGGAACACCCTCACCCCCTATTGCCAGCCCAGAGAGGCAATAATATAAACAATGCACGCAAAAGATTGCAAAAAGATGTCCACTCTCTTGGTTTATACATGTTTCTCCAACCCATTTGTGTGATTTCAGGATAGCAGTAAAATGTGTCAAAACCTTTCTATATCACCATTGCAGAGCTGTTCATCTTGATCTTTCCTTGCAAAAGAAAATAATATTTTAAGCTCTTCTTTAATAAAATGACGTCTTCTTTCAGAATCAGCTGTGTTCAGAAAACTTTCCGCAAAAAGGGTGAAACTGTGGAGGCTCTCAGAAGTAAGAAAATGTCTAGCTTCTAAGCTACTTGTCAGAAATGGAAGGAGAAATAACCCATGAATAATGTCTTTTGTGCTTTTTCTTTGGGTGGGAGCATGAAGTGTTAAGTATGGTTGTGTGTGTGTGCTCCCTTGTGTCTTTAGCCAGTCTGCCTGTAACAGTATGACAAAGGGGCTCATAACAGACTCTGTAGCCTCCTCTTTGGTCCTTTTCCTTGTGGGGTGTCGTCTTTCCCTTCCATGCTCCTAGTCCCCTTTTCTGTCTCCTAACTCCAGTAAGTATGCACAGAGGAACCTCTTACTGGCTCCCATGAGCTAGTGGTATGGGAGCCTCCAACTCAGTGGTTCTCAACTGCTTGCAGCCCAGTCAGCACACAGCTGTGGCCCATGTGACATCCTCAGGGCCATAAGGGAGTATATATATCATGTGCATGTGGCCCGCATAACACAGAGAGAGCTGCATATGTGGCCCACAGTGGTAAATAGGTTGAGAACCACTGCTTCTAAGCTCAGGTCTCCTCATAGGCAGTGCTAGCAGGGCATCTTATCCCCACTTTTATTTATTGCTGCTGTTGCAGTTTTACCAGATTGTGTTCAAATGTTGAAGTAAGATGTTCCTTGGAATACAAAGTAAATGCATACCCTATATGTCAGTATTTGAATTTACTGCAGTGACATAAGCCTGTGCAGAATAACACAACATATGTCATTAACTTCTTATTTCACTTGTTCCTTTCTTCTTTCTGGGTCAGGTTTATCCTTTGACATATATGAGGGTCAGATTACAGCTTTACTTGGGCATAGTGGAACAGGCAAGACAACACTGATGAATATTCTTTGTGGACTCTGCCCACCTTCTGATGGTAAGAATTCTCTGGCTTTAGGGGAAAAATAGGATGTGTATGGCTGTAATCTACTTATTTTAATGTCCTTTTTTCCTTCCTTCAAAACCTGAGGCCACTGATGTTTGAGGATATTTCAAGTTACGCTCGTTTTCTCAGGCGATCTGAAATAGGTTAATTTTAAATTATACGTACATTTTAATTGATGACATTAGTCTGTGTATGCTGATGATCAAAGTAGTGGTTGGGTTTAAAAACACTTAAATTCTTTTTACATTTTGTTCTTTAGGGTTTGCATCTGTCTATGGACACAGAATCTCTGAAATTGATGAAATGCTCGACGTAAGAAAGATAACGGGAGTTTGCCCACAATTAGATATACATTTTGACGTATTAACTGTGGAAGAGAATTTATCAATATTTGCTCATATTAAAGGGATATCTCCCAATCTTCTGATACAAGAGGTACGTCACTCAGATATAAATTATATACAATGTGTATTCACTGTTAATATAGCTTTATTGATAGCATAATGGAAGTCACTTTGCAAGTCTAGTTTATAATAAAAGACCAATACACTATTTTATTAAAGAGGGAAAATATAGGAAGATACTTTAAGTAAAGTTTGTTGAATTTGTTTGTTCCACTATAACGAAATATTACTGGAACATATAAATACTAATGCTTGTTTACAAACATTGGCCTCCTATAATTTATCCAGTCTTGGTAGGTTAAACTTCAAGGCCCTGATCCTGTGTAATAGACACTGTTGACAGTTGGTACAGGGGTTTGCCTCCAAGAAGATCGTTCCAAGAAAGGGGCTTAAAAATGTTAATTAGAACAATTTAAAATGATCAATAATTTGTCAAAATGTAACATAAGACTGCTGATAATTATGCCAGTCACGTTTTAATCACTGTATCTCATTTTCGTTGACATGAAACACTTCTGTTATATTTTTAAAGGTGCAGAAAGTGATGAATGATTTGGATATGCAGCCCATCCGAGATAACCAAGCTAAAAAATTAAGTGGAGGGCAGAAGAGAAAGCTGTCGATAGGAATCGCTGTTCTTGGGAGCCCAAAGGTAAGGGGGCATAAGCACAGTCCTAAGTTACTGCTTGTTCCATATATATGCATGGATAGTGTACCCGTGTTCATATTACTTGGCAATTACAAGCGATGCAAATAAGAAGGTGCAAAAATATGTCAACTCTTCCTATGTTTCATACTGACTCTGGCTTAAACAATTTAAAATTGCCAAGTTGAAGCATGCATCCTTTACATTGCAAAGAGTTAACTGTGTTAGTGAATGTAGAAACTGGATTATATCATGCTTTTCTGTGGTAAATTAGCATAAAAGGTTACACTGCATCTGGAATGGAGGGTAGCGCATTGCACCCTCTAAAAACAGTACAGTACAAGTTGTCAGAGAGAGCAGGCTCATGACCTGAAAAAGCCATGCAAGCACTTGGGACATGACAGGCTCTTTCTGATTACAAAGTTAAATGGTTGCTATTTGTGACCTATACGGTGTGATGCTCCTTTAGACTGGGTACATGTTTAAAGGTTGCAGTGTACAGATGTAAGTAACAATACCCTTCATTATTTCCTACCTTTTTAAAAATATACATATTAAATGTCACCAACTATTGGTAAAAGGAACTAATGTGTCTTTTTACCACTGTAGTTTAAATTTATTTATAGTGGGAACCGAATGTATCCAGTTGTGAAGATGCATTTCTGAGGTAGTTTGTGGTTTTTCTGTTCATCAGAAATAGGTGATGAACTTTCTAAAAAAGTAAATAGTTATGATGGATGTTTTGCATACCTTTTAGTTGGTTAAGGTAAGAAATTTTTCCCACCCTACCTTTAAACAAATAGAGCAAAACTGCCCTTGAATTAATAGTCTTCCTGGTTTCTGTAGGATTTTGTGATGTGGGTATCTCAGATGGTGACTATGGAGGGTTTGGATTTTTTTATACCTTTTTTCCTAACCATGGTGTAGGTTTTACTTTTGGATGAACCAACTGCTGGTATGGACCCATGTTCTCGGCACATTGTTTGGAATCTCCTGAAAAACAGACAAGCCAATCGGGTAACAGTATTCAGTACTCATTTCATGGATGAGGCAGATATTCTTGCTGGTGAGTTTTGCTGTGGCCCTGTGGGACACATTTACTGGGGGCTTGCAGAGTGTAAAGTAGAACTGTATTTAGCATATAAGGTGAACAGGTGCTCTTTCCGCTGTCAGTAGACAGCAGAGTTTTCTCTCTTTGGTCATGCCATTGTTTTATGAGTAGACTGCTGGTCCTCAGAATAAAAATGCCTGGTTTTGTTTCTAGATCGAAAAGCTGTGATTTCTCAAGGGATGCTGAAATGTGTTGGCTCGTCTCTCTTCCTCAAAACCAAATGGGGAATTGGCTACCGCTTGAGGTATTATTTTTTAGTTTATAAGCCACCTTCCTTGTGTCATGTTATATTTGCTTTGTCTTCCCCTTAAGGTGTAGGATAATTTAAACTTATCCTACTAAATTTTTAAAGGTTTTATTTTTCTGTCTTGTTTGGGAAGATCAGATATCACTTTCACTCTGTTTTGTTGCTCTGTTTCACTCTGTTTTGTTGATCAGATATCACTTTCACTCTGTTTTGTTATGCTTTCAAAAAATGGCGATGAAGAAACAAAGGTTTTAAAATACTTTGTATTTTTAGTATGCATATAGATGGGTATTGCAATATAGAAGCTACAACAGCCTTGATCAGACAGCATATCCCTGGAGCCAGCTTGGTACAACAGAATGAACTGCAGCTTGTGTATACCTTACCTTTTAAAGACATGGACAAGTTTTCAGGTATGATGCTATTGTAATTCAGTGCTGAGCTAATGTGGGGGGTGGGGAGAGAGGAGGAAATCAGCTGATCATAATGGTACCTTCAGAGAAGTATGTTGTCATTTTTCTTCATATATTGTGATAGACCCAGGCCAGTTGGGTATAGCAGAGTAGTAGAAGGCAGATATATTGGCCACTGGATAAGCAGTTTTCTGTTCTGTGACTGACCAGAGCAGGGGCTGCTCCAGGCTAGGGTGGACACATGACTCCAATTAGCCTGCAAAAAGTCAGCTGAAACCGTTAGGCTAATGAGAACACCTGACTCCAATATATAGAGTCAAATCCTCCTCTGAATCAGATGGAGAGAGAGCTTGAATTGACAACTTCTACCTAAACGGTGAGTGACTTCAACTCCAATCTAGAGAGTCATTCTCTCTCTCTCTCTTTCTCTGGCCCAATGAACATTTATGTATTCATAAAAAGTAGAGCCGCTTCAACAGAAGAGATTGGTAGCAGAATGCCTATAGCCTGGTGATTAGGACCCTTCATCTGAGAAGGGGAGATCTGAATTCATGTCTTTGCTCAAGAGTGGGGATTCAAACCTGGGTCTCCTACAACCCAAGCAACCACTGGGCTAAAAATTACACAGACACATGCAGTTTCATGTGGAGGTGGGGGCTGTATGCATCTTTTTGCGAATAAACCATTCAGAAAATTTCATTGAGCTTTATTACTAGGATCACTTGGGACAAAGCACAGGTCTGACAGGTGCTATTTAAGGACTCATTTTTAAATTAATTTTAACTCATAAACTATTTAATGGACTGACTTGTAAGTTCTCACAAGATTCATTCTGTACTTGGAGAGTAAATGCTGTTGTTTTGGGGAGAAGGTGCTGGGTTTCTCATACCTAATGTACTGATTGAAGATCTGCTTTAAATGCAAAACTCATCTCAGCATTAACTGTAGCACCATGGCTTAGGTCTCTGTAATTAACATGTTGTACATACATCGTGTGTATTCATTGAAGAGTCTCACCTTGGGGGGCACACTATGTCGTTTTATTAAATCAGAGGCAATTCTGGTGGGCAAATGTAATTTTGTTGCCAAGCAATCACATTATTTCACCTCTACAGGATTATTTTCTGATCTAGACACTCATTCACATTTGGGTGTTATTACTTATGGAGTTTCCATGACAACCTTGGAGGATGTGTTCCTGAAGCTGGAAATTGAAGCAGAAATTGATCAAGCAGGTGAGATGTAACTATAATATTTACCGTTTTCTTTGTGACTTGATTAGTTGTGGTTAATTTTTGTAAGATTGTATTTAGCACTTTTCACTATGAAAAGCAGAAATAATAACAAAAATGTCCTATCATAGAATATTACTTCAAACTGTATGTGACACTTACGATCACATGCTGTTGTGGGCTCCTTGAAATACCTGACCAGAACAGCAAACAAAGGGCAAAGAAGTTGGAGAATGATCCCTGTCTGAAGTCCAGAGCTGTACAGGTCTTGTGCTGACGCTCTGTATAGGGATGAATTTCAGGGTCCTTAAATCTAATGTCCTTCTTTTTTTTTTAATAAGGTAGATTTTTGTGGCCGAAAGTTCAAAAATATACTTTTCCCTATGGGATTTTGCATTTGCATTCAATTGTGGACACAGGAAATACAATTTCGATTTCCAACCACTTGATTTGAAAAAATGTATTTGTACCTGTAAATAGAATTTACATATCTAACCATCATTTATACCCACAATTATTTGCACCCCATATGATTGTGGATGTAAAATCAGAGGCCTATTTGAAAAGCTTCTTGCTATCCTTTAGGAGATTACTCCAAAAGTAAAGCAATACCCTTCTAGTGTCCATGTTTAATAGATAAAAGTATCCTCACCTTTCTAGGCTTTGTTGTTAACCACAGGGTACTGAACTGTCCTATACCTGGAAAGCTGTTTAGAAAGAGTTTAACAGCTGAATAATCCATGGTATCTAGCAATATTGGTAGTTGCATAGGCTAAATTAATTAGGCTAATTAAAATCTCTGTCTTTTGGGTATATGCTGGTTGCGTAGGGGATCAGAAAGGGGTTTTTCTGCTTCTGTACAACATTGCACAGTTTGTTTAGAAGCATTGTATAGACTTTCTACCACCATCACTTGGCTACTCCTGAAGGCAGGGTAACACATCACATGATCCAGTGACTTGATCAGGAAAGGTAAATTGTATGTTTCCATTTCTATCCCCCTTTCTTTCCATACAGATTATAGCATATTTAATTCCCAGTCAGCAGGCGAGGAAATGGATACAAAATCGTTTGATGAGATGGAACAAAGCCTACTGATACTCTCTGAGACAAAATCATCTGCAGTAAGCAATACCGCTCTCTGGAAACAGCAGGTGTCTACTATAGCAAAGGTTCACTTCCTTAACTTAAGACGTGAAAATAAGTCAGTGGGAATTATGTAAGTATTAAGATGACTTCCCGTTTCATTTACCAAAATCCATTTATGAGTGTCAGAAGTTCAAACATGCTTAGATATGTTTTAGCAGTTTGTTTTATACCTGTGGTGTATAATGTAGGTTTTCATCATGGTTTTTAAACTGGACATTAAGAATGTTAGATGAGTTGGAGGGCGTGACATTGGAGTTAAGCTCTTTAGTTTATGGAGACGATGTCATATAACTGGCAGACATGTTTGAATTAATCATGGTGTTCTTTGCTGCCATGGAAAATCAGTGTAGTAGGCTTGAACTTACAATGAAGACATAGTGGTTGCATCTTGGAAAAGGGGCATTAGAGAAAGTGTTGAAATGCAGAAGACGTAGAACTAGTGGAATCTTGTATGTGCTGTGGAAGCTTGATCAGTGCCGACAATTCCACCAAGGATTAGGCTAAAAGATGTGGCTTAGCCATGAGTGCTGCACAGAAACAGATGAAAATATGGACTGATCAAAACATTACATTTGGTACCAAAGTGAAAATTTATCACACCAGTGTACTAACAGTATTATGCTAGGGTCTGGGAGCAGCTGCATTAAATGAAGCAAACATCAGAAAGTTGCAGGCAGTAGGGATGAGAGTTTTTTTGAAAGATGGCAAATGTAAAGTGGAATGATTTTAAGACAGATGAAGTTAAATGGCGAGGGGAGGATGTGAAATCAGGACATGGGAGTGATTACAATCAAAAAGATCGCAATGGTGGGGACACTGTAGAACAGGGGTTCTCAACCTTTTCCTTTCTGAGGACCCCCACAAAATACTATTAAAAACTCCAGGGCCCAGCGGTGTCGGCTCTGGGCCGGGGGTGGGCCCTTGGGCATCAGTATAGTTTGACTTCTGTTTTGGGTGGGCAGGGATTCGGGCTCTGGATTTTAGCCGCGGGGCCCCACGGCCCCTGTGAAAGGGTTCACAGACCCACTGTTGAGAACCGCTGCTGTAGAAGACAAACAGCTAATAGGATGCCAAAGAAAATAATGCAGACACAACCAAGGTCAGTCTGACCTAGAGGCTGACCACTGCCTAGATGGTGTGACATCATTTGCCGGGGCATGATCAGGCTGGGTTTATTGGAGGAACAAGATCATGAACAAGAGTGAAGGGTGATGCTGTGCTCCCGTGTTTGCAAAGATGCCTTTGGGGGAAAAAGAGGATGGTGATGATTGTGTGTAATGTAGATAAGCATGGCTATCATAATACTTGCTGCTGCTGTTGAATATTTGCTTCCCTCGGCATGAGCCTCTTCTGTAGGTAACACTGATGATAATATGATGTATATACTATTTTGGTTACGTTGCTGCCTGCGGTAGCCTCCAACAATCACTTCCTTTTTTCCAGAGCAATTTTGAATTATGGTAAGAAGTGAATAACGAGCTTTGCCTTTTATATATTTAGTTTTCGTTAACTGTAGTCTGTGGACTGAATCGGGGTATTCATGATTAGACTTCCATTAACTGAAATGATAATGTCTGTATCTATAGTGGGTCTGAGGCTGACACCTGAGGGACAACTTGTTTTGAATAATATGCAAATAATGTGGATCAGTTTCCACTGAACTTTACTTAAATCACTTTATTTCTTTCAGGTTGTTGCTTTTTTTAGTTTTTCTTGCAGTTCAGATTTTAATGTTTCTTATACATCACTACTTCAAAAATTCTGTGGTTCCCATCAAACTTTCCCCAGATTTGTACTTTCTGAAGCCTGGAGAAAAATACAACAAGTACAAAACAAGTCTCCTCCTTCAGAACTCCACAGGTGAGAAGAAAAAAAAGCAAATACAGTTATACTGGATTACTGTCGTGTATTTAATACTCCAGCTTTAAGAAGGTGTTTTTAAACATTTAAACATCCCATTGGTATGAGAGATTAAACCACACATAACGTGAAGGGAGGTGGAATGTAGCCTGGAGCTACAAGAATGATCACTGCAATGAATGGCTGGTGGTTGAATTTTTTTTTAATTTGCAACTTAGAAAACATAAAAGCATCTAATATTCTTTAACATGGGAACATTCCAGTGTTAATCAGTCATGGGTGATGACTAAAGCTGAATGAACCTCTATCCAAACTTGATTCAAACCAGAGCTGTCAGGAGCTGTATGATTAAGATCCAGAAATTCTTCAGGTTTTCCATTGTGGGGCATTCTGACTCTGTATGCTGCTGTGGGAATGAAAATGGCTTTCTTAAATGACCCACCCATGCAATTTAAGGGTGGGACTTTCAGAAGTTCCCAGCGCTGAAGTCAGTGGGAGCAGAGTTAGGCCAATGCTGAGCACTTTTGAAAAGTCCACCTTAAAAGTAGCGTGGTTAAATTCCATATCCATCCACCCTTATTTTTTTAAGGTTTTGCTGGGTAAAGTCCATGAACCTCTCGTCATGACAATTAGAAAAACGCATTGGGTGTCCAGTATCTTAGACCCACGCCGTTTGTACACCTTATAACCTCCATTGTCTGAACCCTGAATTCCAAAAGAGAGTAATGTCCGATCCATGATAAATAACTCCAGTTAAAACGAGTCTCTCTCACTGAAACCTTGAGTATCCAAACTTATCCAAGTGCCCTGTGGTATTTTTATAATCCATTTCTGAACTATAATTTACTTTAATTTGATGTACACAGCAAAAAACCTTCCTTTTTTCTACGTTTTTTGTGTGGATGTTGAAGGAGGGAGCTAAAATCAAAACATAAGCACTATTTAAAATATTTGAAGAATCTATACATGTAGAGAAACAACAACAACTTCTCATAAAGAAGATTATATGGGAGAATTACTCTCTCTCTCTCTCATTATCTTGATATAAATGCGTTCATAATTTCAGTGTAAAGTTTGCATGCAACCAGATGCTTTTGTGATGAATAGTCATGTCTTCTTCCTTATTGCCTTATACTAGGATCAAATATTGATGATCTCATCAGTGCTCTCAGAAGCCAGAAGATATTGACTGAGATGTTCAATGACAGCGATTACGTGTCGGCTGCGCCCCACAGTGCAGCTTTAAATGTGTCGCTTTCAGAACAGGTAAGGAAGATGGGCCCATGTTGTGGTGCTGCTGGCCTTTTCTGGGTACCTCAGAAGTAGTTTTTGGTGCTCGGTTCTCTAAAAGATGTTTTCAGGAGATGATACGATTGCTCATATTTAAATTAGGGCTGTTACGCAATCACAGAATACCATTTATTTAAATATTTTTGGATGTTTTCTGCATTTTCAAATATATTGATTTCAGTTACAACACAGAATACAAAGTGTACCATGCTCAGTTTATGTTTATTTCTGATTACAAATATTTGCTCTGTAAAAAACCAAAGAAATTGTATTTTTCAATTCCCCCATTAAAAGTACTGTAGTACAATCTCTTTATTATGGAAGTTGAACTTACAAATGTAGAATTATGTACAAAAAAACCCTGCATTCAAAAATAAACCAGTGTAAAACTTTGGAGCCTACAAGTCCACTCAGTCCTACTTCTTCAGCCAATCGCTCAGACAAGTTTGTTTACATTTGCAGGAGAGAATGCTGCCAGGTTCTTGTTTACAATGGGACAGGCGTTCTCATGGCACTGTTGTAGTTGGCGTCACAAGATATTTATGTGCCAGATGTGCTAAAGATTCATATGTCCCTTCATGCTTATACCACCATTCCAGGGCACATGCGTCCATGCTGATGATGGGTTCTGCTTGATAACAGTTCAAAGTAGTGTGGGCCAACGCATGTTCATTTTCATCAGCTGAGTCAGAGGCCAATATTAGAAGGTTGATTTTTTTTTCTGTAGTTTCCACATCAGTCTGTTGCTCTTTTAAGACTTCTGAAATCATGCTCCATACCTCGTACCTCTCAGATTTTGGAAGGCACTTCAGATTCTTAAACCTTGGGTCGAGCGCTGTAGCTGTCCTTGGAAATCTCACACTGGTACCTTCTTTGCATTTTGTGAAATCTGCAGTGAAAGTGTTCTTAAAATGAACAGCGTGTGCTGGGTCATCATCCAAGACTGCTATAACATGAAATATATTGCAGAATGCAGGTAAAACAGAGCAGGAGGTATGCAGTTCTCCCTCAAGGAGTTCAGTCACAAATTTAATTAACACATAATTTTTTTAACGAGCGTCATCAGCATGGAAGCATGTCCTTTGGAATGGTGGCCGAAGCATTGAAGGGGCATACGAATGTTTAGCATATCTGGCACGTAAATACCTTGCAATGCTTGTTACAAAAGTGCCATGCAAATGCCTGTTCTTACTTTCAGGTGACATTGTAAAAAAGGAGGCACCATTAATCCCCATAAATGTAAAGAAACTCGTTTGTCATAATGGTTGGCTGAACAAGTAGGACTGAGTGGACTTGTAGGCTCTAAATTTTTACATTGTTTTGTTTTTGAGTGCAGCTGTGTAACAAAAATATCTAATTTTGTAAGTTGCACTTTCACAATAAAGAGATTGCTCTATAGCACTTGTATGAAGTGAATTGAAAAATACTATTTTTAAAATTATTTTTGCAGGTCAAATATTTGTAATAAAAATAATAATATAAAGTGAGCACTGTACGCTTTGTATTCTGTGGTGTAATTGAAGTAAATATATTTGAAAATGTAGAAAAACATCCAAAATATTTAATACATTTCAATTGGGACTCTATTGTTTAACAGTGCAATTAAAACTGCCATTAATCGCAATTAATTTTTTTTAGTTTGCGTGAGTTAACTGCAATTAATTGACAGCCCTAATTTCAATTAGGGTGATAGTAACAGTTAAATATAGTCTGTGCTATGCAACCCGAACCTCCACTAGCCTTTCCAGACACTTAGGGTTTTTAAAGAATAAGTTAATTCTAGAACTTTTCAAATGTGGGTTAATGAAGAAATGAAGAAAATACTGCTTTCTGCCTGGCAGAAGATAGCTTGTCTATTAATATACTGGAAATTTTAGCAAGGTAAACGTACCTTCAGTATACTAATTACACTAGCTTAGTAAAATTTCCATTGCACATTTTTCCATATTGAAATCAAAAGTCAAGAGAGAACTTACTTAATTTGTTTTTATATGCCTGACAGTATGTAAATGCATGGCATTCTAAATCAATTATTTCATTTGTAAGTTATCCAGAATGCTGTGTTTACAGTCTATGTGCCTGGGATGTGAAAACATGAATGGTACCACAAGTGATTACATTTCTAGCTGAATATAAGACTCATTCTTTGGTGTAATTGACATTGATTTCATTTAAATAAAAAACAAACCCTCAGATTTGCAGTCCTTCTAAACACCTTTCATTTAAAAAATAAAAAATAAAATAAAAGATATTTTAACGTATGATAACAATGGATTAATACTGTAAATGAGGGAATTTCTTTAAGTGTATTTTACTTAAACGGTCTTTTTAATTAAACATCAAAAACATCTGGGTGTTTAATATACTAAATCTGTGCACCCAACACGGTCTCTTTTCATATTAGACTGTCAGCTCATTCTCAGTTCACCTTCGCAGCTCACCCAAACTGCTCTTGCAACAACGCTCTAGTATGGAAAGAGAAGTGCGTGTCTTGGAGTGCGTGTATTAATATGTAAATCAAAGCACTGTCTTTCACGTCCAACGTGTGATCTGAAGTGGAAGAACATGGTAAGGTTTGAAGAAACATGGATTGTACCTCATGTTACTAAGAGGAAACAATTTGCAACACGAAGGTCCTGCCTTTTGTTCCCATTTCTTGGTAAAGTTAACATCAAATTCCTCAGCTAGTGTAAATTGTTATAGCTCTGACTTCAGTGGAACTATAACTGTTTATACCAGTTGAATATCTGCCCCCATATGTCACAAGAGTGGTCTGAGGAAGAGCTCGGTGTAGCTCGAAAGCTCGTCTCTCTCACCAGCAGAAGCTGGTCCGCTAAAAGATATTACCTCACCCCCCTTGTCTCTCAAAGACCATGGGACCCAACCCTGCTGCAACAGCAGTGCAAGCAAGTATTAAAGTTAGATAACAACCAACCTTGTAGCTAAAGGGCACATTTTCATAAAGTTATTTTCATTGGAATTAATTTGGTTACGTTTCTGCCCTTTAGATTGTGAATATTTGTACTGCATTACTGTACTTTTTAGGTTTCAGAGTAGCAGCCGTGTTAGTCTGTATTCGCAAAAAGAAAAGGAGGACTTGTGGCACCTTAGAGACTAACCAATTTATTTGAGCATAAGCTTTCGTGAGCTACAGCATCCGATGAAGTGAGCTGTAGCTCACGAAAGCTTATGCTCAGATAAATTGGTTAGTCTCTAAGATGCCACAAGTCCTCCTTTTCTTTATACTTTTTAGTAAGTTCTATATTGTACAAAGGGTTTCTTCCAACCATAACCTTCAGTGCTAACCTTCATGTTGCAAATTTAACATGGAAAATATTTTTCTTTGTAGAGCTCCATTTTTACAGCTGTATTCAACAGCACTATGGTGCACTCTCTGCCTGTTTTGATGAACATCATTAGCAACCTGTTTCTCCGCAACTTAAATGTGACTGAGAATATTCAAATCTGGAGTAACCCATTCATTCAAGTAGGTGGAGTTCAAATCAGGAAGTATCATAGGCTTAAAATTGCCTAATTACAAAGGAAACGATAGCAAAATCACAGTTGTGCATGCAGTTTTGTGGCTTTGACTATTTAGGCACTTCTTGAGGCTAGCCCTGTATTGGAGCATGTGACAAAATGTAGCTATAAGTCAGAACGATTCAATAAATTTCTAAGCATGGCCATTTAATTCAAGCCGATTTTATTACTATCTTTTTCACCATTTAAAGCTTCTAAAGTAATTAAATGTTGCACATTAAGCAGTACAGCTTTGAATTTAAAAAATCATATTCAGATTTTTTTAAAGATAATTATACATAGTAAATATTTATATTATAGTGATGCCCGAGGGCCCCAATCCAGGGCACTCTACAAACATAGAAAAGAGATGTTTCCAAATCTAAGGACACAAACAGGGTATGAGTAGGGGGTTGAAATATGACACAAACTCAAATTAGTATGGTGATGAACTAGCACACCTTTGTTGTACTGTAGGTTTGGGCATTTTTAACTGGTGGTTGGAGGTAGCAAGAAAAGGATTGGGAAAGGGAGAGGGCAAGAGGAGTGATCAGAGCTTGTCACCCACCTAGCTTTGATTAGACTGTGGTAGAGGTGAGTCATAAGGAGGGTTCTGGAACAGGATAAGGTAGAATTTTATCAGAGTTTTTCCCATGTATAAGCACACAGTTGTATAGGGTTGAGCTGATGGGCAGTAAGGCTGGGAATGTTGGCGGAACGAAGGTGGAGGTCAATGTTTTGGTGCGTTACTAGATCACCTGGGTAGGGTGGATCTCAGTTTTGAAGGGCCTTAAAGATAAAGACAAAGCGTGATATTCTAGTCCTGTTGAATTTAATGGGAGTTATGCCATTGACTTAATTGGGGCCAGGATTTTCACTCAAGAAGCTTGTATTTGATGGGGAGGTGAACGAGGAGCCAGAAGAGAGACTCAAAATGTGCGATAATATGATTAAAGCAACAAGATGATCTTAACAGCAGAATTCTCAAGAGACTTGAGAGGAGCAAGGCTGCAGTAATCAAGGATAGCAAAGAGGCGGTTACAGTAGTCAACTATTCATAGTTGCCATTTTCTTTCTCTTCTGACCATATTAATTTTATAAACTGCAGAAAAATCTGCACAGGACTTTTATAATAAGTTGCAACTAAAGTGACATTGTTAGGAGTCTAGGTACAAGAGCACAGGAAATCATGTTTAGAAACTTTAAAAAAAAAAGTTTGAGGAGTTGTTTTTTGTCTCTAGTATATTCTGATTTCCCAGTGCCGAAGTCTAATTATTTTTCAGGAGACTGATGACACAGTTTTCAGACTGGAGGCTTTTTTTCAAGCGATGTTACTAGGAATCATTGTAACGGGGGTGCCACCATATTTTGCCATGGAAAATGCAGAAAACCATAAGGTAATCTTCAATTTGAACTATGCAGTTTGGGTCATTTTAAATCTTCAGTATGTAAACAAATATAAAACCTTCTTCTAAGGCCATTACTGGATGATGTAATAACTTGGTAATGGCTGTTGTCTGGGACGCAATGGTGGGATTATTCGTAGAGTATACAACAACTTCAGAACCAAGTGGTGTGTCAGGACTCCTCAATTTTCAAATAAATTTAAATGTGTCTGTTTACTGGATGTACCTACCCCAAGAATAAATGTACATAAAGTTATATTTTATATAAGACTAACAAGTAGTTGCAGAGACAAATTATATGACTCAAATACGAATGTGAGCAGAAACAGGGGATTTTTGCATATAGAAGATCTCGCTGTAGATTTGGAGATGGAATTGGGCACTCTAGTCTTTTCATAACCTACTACCAGCTGGATGCCTAGCTGAAACTAAAGAAAGTAGGATCATAGAGGGCACTCAGTCCATATACATACTGGATGTTTTGCTTCTATCCCTTCTTCCCAAAACTAGCAAGTTCTTTTGTGGAAAAATGTGGATACACAGACCTCCTCCCCTGGCACCTAAAAATTGCAAATTGGGAATAACTCCAGTGAAGACACTAGAATGACACTAGTGTAAAGCCTGTATATTTGAGAGCAGAATTAGGCCCAAGTTGTGTAAGCATTAATAAGAATTAACATAACTGCCATTTGTGGCATTTTTGACACCTATTGTAATTTTATTTCCTCTAACAGATCAAAGCCTACACTCAGCTTAAGATCTCCGGTCTTTATCCATCTGCTTACTGGAGTGGACAAGCCATCATTGACTTTCCTTTATTTTTCATTATTCTTGTTCTGATGATAGGAAGCTTATTTGCATTTCATCATAGTGTTTATTTCGATACTTGGAAGTTCCTTGCTGTTGTAAGTCTAGTTTTATTTACTTCTCTGTTCTCATTAAAGTTCTTTATCAAAGTATATAAGAAATATGACGTGTTCGTTTTTGTTTGCTGGTCGGAAAAATTTCACCCAATGGTATTTCACTGGAATTTGCCAGATCGCTGAAATCTAAATGTTTCATCGAGGCCGTTCAGTTTTGACAAAGTTCTGACAGAACCCAGTCTGCCAGGCAGATTTCTGTTGGAAACTTGACTGGCTTCCTAATAGCATGCCCACCTGCTAGGCTACTGGGGTTTCCAAACTCCCACCTTCACAGCAGCCTGCCTGGCAGATAGACAGGGAGCTGAGAGCCCCAGCTCCCACACTTATGGCTCCTTAACAGCTGAGGCTACAAGAGTACCCTGTTCTGGGGAAGCCTGCCAGGGTCCCCTGCCCTGAGGCTGGGGATCCCAGGCCTTCCAGGGTCCATGCTTCTCGAGCCAGAGCTCTTCTCTTAGGTGAGATCTATGAAACTTTGAGTTTTCCTTTGAGCTTTTTGTACTTGGCATGCTATCATTTGACTGCGGTTCCATCCCTCCCTCCAACATGCCTGCTCTTGTTTTAATTTCTGCAAAAGTTTGTGAAATTAATCGAGGATGAAACTTGCAATGCTTACCAAAATATGCATATCATTAGTGTTTATGTGAGACCCGATAGTGCCACTTGAGAAACGATTTAAATTTAACTGAGAGATGGGACTTGCTGCCCTGCTTGCATTTTTTAGCAGACAGTTTTAATAGCACATATCATGCTGAGTACAGCATCTCAAAACAATTAAATTAGCTTTTAACTGACAGAGGATCAACTGGAGATGAAAATGTACTCTAAAAGTATTCAGGCATTTACAAAATAAATGTCAATAACAGCTTTGTACCCCTGGGTATACTGAGTACTCTGACAGCATGGTATATGATGAATCTTTCTAAGAAATGTCTTTTTTTTTTCCCCTTGTAGATCTTTTGCCTTATTGGCTATGTACCATCAGTAGTGCTGTTCACTTATGTGCTCTCTTTCACCTTTAAAAAAGTGCAAAATACCAAAGAATTTTGGTCGTTTATTTTTTCAATGGTAAGTCTGCCTCTTGTATTTAGTTAACTTTAAACATGTTTTCCCCTCAAGCCAAATCAACATTTTTTTTCAGTTATCATTTCTGGAAAATAATTCCCTCATATTTAAACCATTTGACATTGCTCGAACTTGCATCTGAAAAGGAGAGAAATTAAGTAAACGACAAAGGGTTTAACTATGAGGCAATATACATGTTTCTTTGCTTCTCTTCCTTGCCACAGCAACACACGCTTTTGAATAGTTATACTCAGTGTGGAATAAGACAAGGGATTACTTGTGTCACAATCTTGGGGCAGGCTGTTCTTTCAGAGAATATCTTCCAGTCCCTCGAGTGCACCCCTTTCATAGAATCATAGAATATAAGGGTTGGAAGGGACCCCAGAAGGTCATCTAGTCCAACCCCCTGCTCGAAGCAGGACCAATTCCCAGTTAAATCATCCCAGCCAGGGCTTTGTCAAGCCTGACCTTAAAAACCTCTAAGGAAGGAGATTCTACCACCTCCCTAGGTAACGCATTCCAGTGTTTCACCACCCTCTTAGTGAAAAAGTTTTTCCTAATATCCAATCTAAACCTCCCCCACTGCAGCTTGAGACCATTACTCCTCGTTCTGTCATCTGTTACCATTGAGAACAGTCTAGAGCCATCCTCTTTGGAACCCCCTTTCAGGTAGTTGAAAGCAGCTATCAAATCCCCCCTCATTCTTCTCTTCTGCAGGCTAAACAATCCCAGCTCCCTCAGCCTCTCCTCATAACTCCTTTCTGGTAGCCAGCCTGTGCCTCCACTTCTCTTTGGTGTAGGATCCTGCAAGCCAACCACTTTCCAACCGGGTCTCTGGATTACACTTCTCTGGGTGCCAACCATGTTACCTAGTAGGTGCAGCTGAGCCAGAGTTCTATTTTTGGCAGCCTGTGGTCAGTAATAGTATGCAGAAGCAGTTTCTTCAAAACAAAGATGCTCGGATGGTACACAGTTGAGAGAAGTGGATTTAAAAATAACAAAGACCTATATGCATGTTGTCTTACCCATATTTGGCATTCCCCTACGTAGGCATGACAATGTTGGTGTCCCCCATTCTCTCTGGGCACCAAGTTACACATAACTTGCTCCCAGACCCTGGGTCTCAAGTCAGTCTGTCTGTATGTCAAGCCTTGCTGCGTGCTGACTGTGTGCCTGTTAGCTTCCAGCTGAGCTGACCGCTTCTTCCCTCGCTTTCTGCCAGGCAACCTTTTTAACCCCTCAGTGTTTTTTTTCATATCCGCCCTAGCCTTGAAATAGGAAAACATGCTCATTTGGTCGGTGCCAGCCAGGTAGGTTCTTTCCCCCAGTTGAAGGCCCAGTGGGTACCTGAGAAGCTGTCTCATCTGTGTCATTGTTTTACCCATCCTAGGTACTTTTACAACCCCCCATTAGAGCCTGTTTTAACTGCACTGAGTCAGGCAGCAATATAAAATTGAACAAGGAAACCGAATCATACATAATGTTCATAAGAAATAATACAGACAATTTTCTAACTTGTCACAACTTGTATTAAATATTATAACCATGTCAGTTTGTGAGATAGGCTTGGATAAAAATACGTGGCTTTTTTTTTTTTTTTTTTTTTTTTTTTAGACTGCTTTGATCTCTACTGCTGTCACTGAAGTAGCATTCTTTCTGAGATATTTCATGGTAACCACCATTTTTCATTATGTCTTCTGTGCCTTCATTCCCATCTATCCTCTTATTGGATGCCTGATTACTTTTATAAAGGTAAGCTTTTGGGGTGTTGGGATGTTGGCTGGTTCCTTTTTATAAGGAATTTAACTTGAGAACTTTGAAAGTCACTTCAAGGGCCCTAGTACATGGGCTAATAGAATGAATACATACATACATACATATATATAAAGTGAATGGGGAGTTTTGCCTTCTGCATTGACCTGTACTATGCCTGATGGCCATTTAATGGGTTATAAATAGCACCAACTGCTGAAAAAGTTTCTTTTATTATCCCCTTGTTGTAAGCTAAATGTTTTATTTTCAGAATCTGGAAGAAACAGAGCATTTGTTAAATACATAAAGGCAAATTCCATGTCCCTCTGTCTGTGGAGTTGAGCTGTTTTGATTACTGGGAGCCTGCAATTGACAAAATACATTGGTCCTGATTCTGATCTCTCTCTACATCCATGTAAACAAGGAGTGACTCCACAGAAGTCAATGGAATTGCACTGATGTAAAGCCAGTGCAAATCTGAATGAGGCTCATAAAGTGTATAAATAAAATGTCTTAAATAATTCATTATAATTTGCATTTAAATTTAGTTGTAAAATGTGGCATTTGATGAAAAGTTCTTTGTGTAAATATTCGTCACATTGTCAGGTATCATGGAAACACCTACAAAAGAATGAAAAATACCATGACCCCTGGGACAAACTCTTGGTAGCAGTTATCGCGGTAAGCACCAGTTGTTTGTCAAATACGTTAGGAAATGTTAACTTTGAATGAAAAGCCACTTCCTAAAGACATTCCTGTTGTAAGGTGTTCAAGAATTTTATTTTTGCTTATAACAGATAGTGGATTAACTACTGCTCTGCAGCCAAAAAATGATTACAGAATAGGCAACAGCGGCATAAACTGCCCCACTCCCTCAGCTCAACACCTAGTGCCCCAGCAGTGTGGCTCAGCCCTACCCTTGGAAGATAAGACTGCTGATTGGGATCATGGAAGAGTTCAAACTTTGTGTGTTCGGTCATTAGCCTCCCTATTGAGTCTGCCAACGAGTGCCCAGCTGAGATGTTGTTTTTGTGATATAGTCTCTTGTCTGCTAGGAACTGGACTGAGACATACCAGCTCATTTAACTGAGTCCAAGTTACAGCCTTCACATAGTAACAAAGGGTCTGGCCTACGACAGATTTGAGTGGATTCTTTAAAAGAGAAAGTTGACATATCCAGTTTACTTAAAATAACGTTTTCCTCTCCTCTCTGTTCTGTTTTGTGGGCCAAACTTCAGAAAACCATTTCAGAAATATTAATTAAAAAGTACTGATTTAAAACATATTTCACTCTTAAATAACTCATTTATATTTTATACAAAACTGGAAATATATTCTAATTATAACAACACAGAGCACTTATGCCATATGAAACAGTTTTGGGAAATATACCCATCTGACTTCCAATGGAATTAATTAGTGACGAGATTTCACTGCCTTGGAGTCTGTCATGAACACCTTCCTGCTGCGAGGGAATCAACATTTCATAGAACTCATCCCATGGACAACTGTTTTGGCCTCAAGGGGCTAGAAATGTTTTGATTAACTGTAACTGTTTTTCTGTCTGTTTTAGCCTTATTTGCAGTGTGTAGTGTGGCTGTTCCTCCTGCGATATCTTGAAGTGAAAAATGGAGGTAAATCGATAAGAGAGGACCCATTTTTCAGGTCTGTGTTGCTTAATAGGATCTCTTCTTATTCTGTATTGAAAAAGCCATCTTAAGATAGTATTGGTAGCTCTAACTGGGAGTAGCTAATGTGCAGCAGAAGGCCCACCAAAGATAAAACAAAAATCCTTTTGTCACTGGAGTAATATGTCCTATTGCATTATCCTGATGTTTTAAAACAGTGCAGACATTGCTTGTTCTGTACTGGCGATCATCCTTATATCAATACGTATGTCTCTGACATAATTTAGATAATGCTTTTCTGCTAGAACGACTAATATAAGGATCATTCCCTCATAACATTTGTGTGTCCAACTCAGGTTAACTCTGTAAAATTGTAAGAGCGGCCATACTTGGTCAGACCAACAGTCCATCTAGCCCAGTATTCTGTCATCTCACAGTGGCCAGTGCCCAATGCTTCAGAGGGAATGAACAAAACAGGGCAACTCTGAGTGATCCATCCCCTGTTGTCCAGTCCCAGCTTTTGGGAGTTGGAGATTTACAGACAGGGGTTGGATCTCAGTCTATCTTGGCTAATAACCATCAATGGACCTATTCAATGCGAATTTCTCATTCTTTTTTTAATCTAACTATACTTTTGGCCCTCACAGCATCCCATGGCAATGAGTTCCACTGCACTGTGTGAAGATGTGCTTCCTTATGTTTGTTTTAAATTTGCTGCCTGTTAATTTAATCAAGTGACCTCTCGTTCTTGTGTTATGTGAAGAGGTAAATAACACTTCCCTACTCGTTTTTTCCACACCGTTCGTGATTTTATAGACCTTAATGGTTTCCCACCTTGTCTCTTTTTTCTAAGGTGAACATTTGCAGTCTTTTTAATTTTTCCTAGTACAGAAGCTGTTCCATACCCCTAATCATTTTTGTTGTCTGACTTTTCTCCAATTCCAATATATCTTTGAGATGAGTGACCAGAACTGCATGCAGTATTCAAGGTGTGAGCATACCATGGATTTATGTTGTGGCATTACGATATTTTCTGTTCTATTATCTATCCCTTTCCTAATGGTTCCTCGCATTCTCTTAGCTTTTCTGACTGCCATTGCACAGTCAGACCTACAGTTAGAAAGTCCTACAGGTAAAAATTACAGGAAGGGAGCATTAACTGAAATAAGTATTATGTTTAGGGAAAAATGCTTGGTTTTCTAGACATCATGGATCACTAACAGATGTTATCAGACATTATCCACTAAATGGAGACAAAATATGGCAATGTTTTATGCATTATACCAGTGCAAAATATTATAGTATATAGAAGTGTTCTGGCTTTTAAATGTAAGAGCTTGTAACTGAAGCTATTCACGTACTATTGAAGTAGAAAATTTATAATTGCTGGCTTACTATAACTGACAATGGTGGCACTAGAATGTGTGGGCCAGATCCTGGGCTCTTAAGTCCCTTTTGTAGGTAGGTAGCTGAGGATTCTTTGGGCGTATTGGATATGCCAGAGGTGAGAGGGAAGAGGAGCTGGAGTGGCTGCTATGACAACTTAGAGTAGCCCTTTGGTTGAGTGGCTGCTTCTCTGAGGATCTAGTCCTATATGCAAACACTTGTTACTTACTTGACTGTTATTTTTAAAGGATTTTCAGAATTACGACTGGGAAGAACATATTACCAAGCTTTAATGCAAATATTTATATTACAAAACAATAGATATGCCCTCTGAAACAGATCTAATTCAAAATTTTAAACTGGCATTAATGAAATGTGTTTATTGCCTTATACTGTTTGACACTTCAACATTTACGTTTTCATTTAACCAGCATGAATAGTATTCAGAAATCGTGCATAAAAATCTGCATAAATGTCGCCGATTTGCATTGGTACATAGTTTTAACAATCAAGTGGTGATACATATTATGCAAGGTATAATACTTTACAAGAAAAAGAGCACCTGGACTGTGTCTTTAAACACCAATAAATTATGGCTTTGACAATCCTTACACTTTGATCTAAGTTTAAATTGTATTCATCAACTATATAAAAGCAAGTACAATATGCAAATTAATTATCCAGGCAGAAGATATACCTATCTCTTAAAATATTGAAGGAAGACCAATATTTGGACAATTTCAGAGTTCTGTCATTATGCAGACAAGGGCCCTGATCTTGCAAACCTTACCTCTGGGGGAATTCTGAGCCACTGTGTGTGCACATAATTAATGAGCCATGCATATTTTTAATATTTTTGCGCAGAAACAGCTTCTACTGAAAAGTTTTGGCAATTCTACCTTATGCCCACCAGAGGGTGCTGTGGCAATAGAACACAGCAGCCTCTGCCAGTCAGCTAGGGAGGAGAAAGAGCCTGCAGAGCCTTCTTCACAGTGCCTGTAGGCCAGGTCGGGAGACAGAGGCAATGGGGAGACAGACAATGTGGGGCTGCTGGGGGTGGGGGTCACAGATAGGGGCTCATAAGGGCTGGTGGGGGAGGACAGCCTGGGACAGGGGCTGAATGGGAGTGGAGGTGCAGGGCCACAGGAGGAGGGAGGTGCAGGGCCACATGGGGCTGGCAGGTGGCTGAGTGGGGGCACAGAGACACATGGGGAGGAGGTGCAGGGCCACGTGGGGATGGGGGAAGTGGGGACTGAGTGGAGGTGGAGGGACACGTGGACAGGGGGTGCAAGGACACATGCAGATGCGGGGAGTGGGTGTCTGAGTGGGGTGAAGGGACACATGTGCCTGACTGAATGGGAGAGGCTAGGGGTCAGCCAGGGTCTGCATGGGGGAAGCTCCCTAACAGTCCCTCCCCTCCCCTCACCTGCCAAAAAAACCCTCTTCCATACTTTTCCCACCCATACCCAACAACCCTCCAAGTTCACACCCAGACATCTTCCCAGCAATTATTTCCCTCTCCCTCAGCTCCTCCATTACCCCTCACTCCCTCCAGCTTTTTCACTGCTTCTGTGGCTAGGGAGGTGTGGGAAATATGGTTCTGTATTGTAGTTTAAATGAATAATTACTCAGAGTTCTGTATTAATATGGCTAGTAAGAAATCTATTTGTCGTCAAATATTTTCTGAATCTTTTTTGTCATCTGTATTGTTACAGACATACTTGCTGACAAGTATTTTGAAATAAATGACCAAAAATAATTGAAACTGGTGTGATTATATGGTGTTATATTAACAAATAAAATATGCAGAATTTGAAAATACTGTGTGCAGAATTTTAATTTTCTGTTGCAGAATTTTTAACTTTTTGGCGCAGAATTTCCCCAGAAGTAAAACCCTTGTAACTGGTCAGATACCTGCTCATATGTGTTAACAGGATTGGGGCTGTAGTGGGAAAATTTTGACTATGGGCTGTGGCATCTATCTGCACACTGTTCCTAGAGGCTAATAGAAATTGTACAGCTATTTCATCATAAACGGCTTTGGAGATTTACCTCATTCTTTATAACAGTAAGACCAGTGTAACCGTTGTGAAATAATTTTAATATTCACCGGTTTCTGTAGCTAAGAATCAACAGGAAAGGGCTTTGTTTACGTTTAAATGACCTGATTTTCTATGGCGTGACCTAGCAGTAGCCTTACTTTAGTGCAGTTTTTTGGCTTATTCCCTTTGATCGCAGTTCTTTTTAAGTGACAACTGAATTTTATTTTTTTAAAGACTTGTTTTCCACTGATTTTTTTTCTCCCCATTCACATATGGCTAATTGCATGAGTTTATTGCCTAACAAACGCAAAGGACTTGATCTTTCTGTCCATAATCAGGCAGCTCTCCAGTGAAATCCCTGGAAGCTTTGTCTGTTTAAAGACGACTGAACAGAAATTAATATTTGTTCCTCTCTTTAGAACTACTACAAAGATCAAAACATGGAAATTTCAAGATGATCCACATAATGAGAATGAGGATGAAGACGTAAAGGCAGAGAGGTTGTGGGTTAAAGAAAAGACAAGCTGCCAGAGCTCTGACGAGGTAATTGTGTAATTATGATTGAATCACAGGGGACAGGGTGAGATCAGATAAAATTGCTATCAAGAAATCAACATATGCCAGCTCTGAAATAATAAATTAATGCTTAATTGGAAATATTAGAACTAGATATTGTTTTTGTCTTCTGAATTAGTTACTTCTTTGAATTATTTTGTATTAAAAAGATTCAGATGAGCAAATAGGATTCTATTTTTTTCACGTGAGTTGACGTCAGTACTTATTTTCTTTTGTTTCCAGTGCCTTCCTTGTGTGTGTCAATTTATTTGGCTTACCACCTCTTACCCATGGAAAAACCTAGAATTCTTGCCCTAAGAACAGCTCTGTGTCTGGTTGGGTTGGTACTTTTAGATTCCAAGCTAATGGGTACTCACACTTCGGGCTAGTAGGAGTTAGGTGCATCATGCCACTGAGATCAAGCCTTGAGGAGGAGGAGATGTGCTGTGTATTGCATATGAGCAGCTCTGACAGCAATTTTGAGCATAATTCTGCTGCTGCTTCCTAAGAGTTGTTGTCTGCATAGGGATCAGGTGCAGAATCGGACCCTTAAAATGGTTTTGCAGCATATAGAGACAATGAGGACTTAGAAGTGAAAAACAGGGACTCTGAGTAGAGATAATGGTGATAACCCCTGCTTGTCCCTAAGTGTAGCCATGGTGAAGCAGAAATGTAATGATTTACTAAGAAGACAGGAATATCTAAATCTCTCTGTCTAACCTCGGTAAATGTAAAAACCCCCATATTTTATTGCGATAAACTTTCAGTTTGTCCATTGGCGCGAGTGCTTTTGTCATTTATATTTTAAAAAATAATTCAGTTATTATATTATCTTCTGTTTTTTAGAAACCAGCAATTCTGGTCAGCAGTCTGCATAAAGAATATGATGAAAGGAAGGATTTTCTTCTTGGGAGAAAAATAAAGAAAGTGGCAACTAAACACGTCTCTTTTTGCGTAAAAAAAGGTTGGCGTTAAATTAGTTACCATTGAAGTACTATATTTTGTTCCTGGAATGCATGGGTAACACTCTGTCTGTCATTTATGTATTTATTTTATTCAGGAGAAATACTTGGATTGCTAGGACCAAATGGAGCTGGAAAAAGCACACTGATTAACATGCTGGTGGGAGACGTTGAACCAACTGCTGGCCAGGTGCAGTATGTCGCTGCGAACTAATAGAAAAGGAATTGGGCTATCTATTTTTTGTTTATTGTTTTCTTACCATTTTGGTCACCAGCATCTCTAAATAGTTTTTGGTCTTTATAGAGACAAGCAAAGCCTATGAAAATACTGTTGAGTAAGGCCTGTCTTTTCCATAGGTGCTGATGGGAGACTATTCTTTAGGATTGAATAGTGAGGATCATTCTGCTAAATTTGTGGGATATTGTCCTCAAGTAAATCCACTTTGGCCAGATATTACGTTGCAGGAGCATTTTGAAATATATGGATCTGTCAAAGGAATGAGTAAAACTGATGTGGAAGAAGTTGTAAAACGGTAAAAATGAATTTCAGCATTTTTTGCTTGCACTCATATTTTAGCTGGGTTCTAATAGGTTAATAGTCTACAATAGATGTCCTAGGTTTCTTGTGCTCTGTTTTTGTCTGACTATAGTAGACTGCTTTTAGCAGTTTTGAGCAAGAGGTGACTATGGTTTGGAAGGGACAAACCCAACAATATGTAATGCCTTTGATTTTTATATACATCTTTATTTCACCTTGAAAACATCCAGCTTACTCAGTGATTTCTAAGTGAGAGGCATAAGATGTAGCAATGTAAAAACTTTTATAAGGATTTTTTAAAAAAACATTAGAATAATTTTTGTAATTAGCAGAGTAACCAGTTATTTAACAATTGTACTAAGAGAAATGACAAAGCATATTTTGAGGATTAATAATCTATCTGCTTTCTTAAACAATGTTCTCAGTGATTGATGAGACAGATATTGTGCATTGGGTGTTTTGCAGCATTGCAAGTGCCCTTGAGTTGAAAAACCATCTACAGAAAACAACAAAGAAATTAGTGGTTGGAATTAAACGCAAGGTATGAAGAAGGTTTTAAAAGAAGTTGAATTCAGTATTTTCATAACATGAGGCCTATTGTGTAATCATATTTAACCTTCCTTCTTTCATGTCAGTTATGTTTTGCGCTAAGTATGCTGGGTAATCCCCAGATTACGTTGCTAGATGAACCATCTACTGGTATGGATCCTAAAGCCAAACAGCACATGTGGTGAGTGTAACATTATGCCACACTTTTTTTAAAAAAAAGTCTACATTGTAGGATAATATGATAGTAATATTCTTATTCCAAAGGTCACAGTGGTAACATGCCATAGATTAGTATAGCCAAATCATGTATTTATTCTTCTTTCCAGTCATGTGAATAACTTGCTGTTAACATTAAGGAAGGCTACCTCTGTGCACTGCCAAGAATCTAGCTTTGTATAAACTGCTTTCCTCTGCATGTTGTCTTCAAATCATTTGCAGATTAATAGCTTATTTGCCTTTGAAGCTAAATCTTTCATTTGATTTATAACAATCAAAAGCATACATTCGCAACTCAGTGCTTTCACAGCAACTTAAAATTCATAATTAGAATACAATAATAACATAATTAGAATACAATGGACAGAAAGAATAGACTCCTCCATAATATTGGCCCATTGAGGAATAATAAACCGAGCTCCTCAAATTCATCCTCTTCCTACAGCTGTCCCTCCCCAGATGCCTAAGAAACTAGGTAGGCTTTGTAATGTGATGGGAAGGAGAGTTCTTTTAAGAGTTGTGGGACTCTCTTCGGTAATGCGAAGCTACAAGGTTAAACCAAAGGAGCTCCAGTTTGAGTTCCTCTGCTTGTCACCAGTGTGGTAACAAAGGATGGAGAAAGAGGCAGTGCCTCTGGAAGCCAAGTAGCAAACCATTTTGTGTTTTTTGATACAGGATATACCATGCTTGTCATAGTAATGTCCAGGGGATGAATTCGAAAGCCAGCTGACAAATTGCAGAACCACGTGATAAAAGAATTTATCATGCACATTTGATCATTGCAACTGCTCTTTTCCTGCTAACCCATCTCTCCTAGAACTTACTCTGACAATCCAAACTTCTGAGTAGCTTCTTTCATCATTTTAAAGAAAAATAACCCACCAAAGAAATGTTTCCTCCTTTCTCCCCAAATTGTGAAATTTCCTCCCAGAGGCCAGCATAGGCAAGATTTAATACAGGATCAGTAACTGCTTCTGTGTGCCTTCCCAGTATTGACTTTGCATTTTAAATTAGCGTTTTCTTTTAATAATAAGGCTGTTGGGATTAAGAGACTAGTGGGCGTCCAAAGCCCTGCAAAATACTGACATTAATATATTTTAATTGAGAATAACTGAAAAGAAATATATACATTTGCTTTTCTTTGCCCTAGAATGAAAAAAGCTGATCATGTGGCTGAGGAGTTTGTGTTAATTATAACTAAAGTATTATTTCCCCAACATACGACATGTCATGTTAAAGGTAATTTGTAGCTGTAGTTATTATTTTTCATTCATTTTCAGGAGGGCAATTCGAGCAGCATTTAAAAGCAAACAGAGAGCAGCTATTCTGACCACTCATTATATGGAAGAGGCTGAAGCTGTGTGTGATAGAGTTGCAATCCTGGTGTCTGGACAGTTAAGGTATTGAGGACTTTAGTCGTCCAGGGATATTTGGAACTTTTGCATAAGAGAAACATGGTGTCTCTCAGCTTGAACACATTTATAGCATTCAAAAAGTACAGCCACATTTGTATTCATCTCAAGCCTCTCATAAAATCATGCATCCGATGAAGTGAGCTGTAGCTCACGAAAGCTTTCGCTCAAATAAATCTGTTAGTCTCTAAGGTGCCACAAGTCCTCCTGTTCTTTTTGCGGATACAGACTAACACGGCTGCTACTCTGAAACCTGTCATAAAATAATCTAATTCCTAAAAAGAAACGATTGAAAACAGCTCTGCTATATATTTGTCTCTATATTTGTCTCAACGATCTGTAGGTGTATTGGTTCAGTTCAGCATCTAAAGAGCAAATTTGGCAGAGGCTATTTCTTGGAAATTAAATTAAAAGAAACAGCAGGCGTACAACAGGTGGCGTTTCTTCACAGGCAGATTTTGCACATCTTCCCAAATGCAAATCATCAGGAAAGGTAAAAAGTTATTAAATAGAGCGATGAAATAAAAGTTATTAAATACAGTCCTTAAAAGGAAAAATATATATTTGTATTAATGCATGCTTCATTTTTGTCAGTGTGTTATGAATAAGTAATTAGTGATATCATATTATCCACATTTTAAATAAAATATGTACGAAAATAAGCCTACAAAAGAGAACATGTCGTGAAAGCTAGCAAAGAAAAATACCTTTATTGATAGCAAGACCAAAATTATGCTTTTGTAACAGTTGTGACCTGGTAATTTCCTTGCTGAGAGTGACCTCTTTCCCACTCCAAGAAATATGGATGGTACCTATAGTCCTGCAAATGTCTGAGCTGCCTTCAGCCTCTTCTAGGAGTGCTTGGTCCAATCCCTTTTGTCCCGTCATCAAGAGTTCTTCCATAAATTTATTCGCAAAAAGAAAAGGAATACTTGTGGCACCTTAGAGACTAACCAATTTATTTGAGCATTAGCTCATGAAAGCTTATGCTCAAATAAATTGGTTAGTCTCTAAGGTGCCACAAGTACTCCTTTTCTTTTTGTGAATACAGACTAACACGGATGCTACTCTGAAACCTGTCATAAATTTATTGAAACACTAAATTACTTGAATTTCTGTCAGTGGATAAATGCACACTCTTAACAGTAATATCTTCTTCTAATTTGTTTACTGTTCACAAGGACCCAGGAAAAGCCTATCCTAGAAATACCCAAAGACTTTTTTTCAGGTGGGGCAGTATTTGGTGGAGAGGTCAATCTCAGAAAGGAGATCATCTGGTGACAGATTTTTCCATTCTGGATCTTTACCCCTGCCCCGGTCCAAGAAATTTGGGATGTAACAAACACTTGCCAGGTGACTCTGTCAGCCTCTTAATTCTTAGGATGTGACCTTGGAGTTTCCCTTTTTAAATGGACTAAACCAGGTGGTTGGGAGATTTTTGAACTGTCCACCAGAGAGAATACCTGATAAGTGAGGACAGTGCAGATGATTCTGTCTCGAGTGCCAAAGGGGGGTGACACAGAATTTTGATGGTGTCTTGAAAGGAGTCCTGGCTGGTGCGTCTGGTTCTGGCCTTTGTCAGGTTAGTGGACCAAATAATCTGATCCACAATGGCAATTCCTATGTCCCTGTGTCACTATATGATTAGCTTGCAGTGCTTTGCCTCCTCCTTGAGAAAATGAACTTACGCTTAGTCATGTGAAACTTTTTTCTTTCCTTTTGCTTTCAGCAATTTTGGCCTGGGAAAATCTCACACTGTATTTTATGGGTTTTTTTCAGTTTTGCCTCCATTTTGGCATATAAAATTCCTAAGGAAGATGTACAGTCACTCTCTCAGTCTTTTTCTAAACTGGAAGAAGGTAAGGCCAAGTATTTGCCAAGCAAACGAGGTAAATAGAAATCATTTTGCCTATTGTGCAGCCTGAAATATTCTCCTTGATCCTATGTACCATGTACCGTTACTCTTCTTCACATCTTTCCTCAAAATCCACTTGGTTCAGTTAGCTTTTTAATGCTAACCTCCACTCCATGACTCCTGCCCTTTTAACTTTATTTCCTCATAACCCATTAACTTCTATAACCCTGCTGTACTCTTAACCTATGTACACAATTCAAGGTAAAAAGAACTAAACAGATGTGAATGCAACAAGGACCTGGTTCAGTTCCCATCTCAGTCTATAAGTACCTACAGTGGACAAATATATTTAATTCTAGAGTGCTCTTTAATCCAGCAGACAAAGAACACAACAAGCTTCAATGACTGAAAGTTGAACTTAAAAAAAATCAAACTGGATATAAGGTGCTAATGTTTAACTGTAAGGGTAATTGTCCACTGGAACAGATTGCCAAGAGATGCGGTAGATTTTTCATTGTTTAATCTTTGAAGTCAAATTGGATGCATTTCTTAAAGAGATGCTGTTGTAAATCAATGGCCAGATGGCGTTTTATAGCCTGTGTTATGCAGTTCAGAGTAGATTAACATAATAGTCCTTTCTCACCTTAACATCTCTGAATATGTAAAGTCAGTGGTGTTGATCAGACCCCAAAAGTTTTATATCACTGTAATCTTGTCTTTCCCATATGCCAACCACCAAATGCACACAGTTTTGTGAGTCATTGCAATATTGAACTCAGATTATATATTCCTTTTGAAAGAAACCCTTTTTGTATTTGTCTGAATATCTACTCTCACAGCCCTGGCGCTGTACAGATAATTTAAACATCATCCCTAGGAGTCTGAGAACTACGTTGTATTAGCATATCAGTTCAAAATGCCTGGAGGTTATCCCTTCTCTCCCCCCCCCCTTTTTTTTTTTCCTTTTTGCAGGGATATCAGGCTATGGCTAGGAGGGGTCACTGGGTTTCTCAGTGGGAATGGAGAAAGTTTATGGTGGTTGTAGCCTGTTATCACAGAGGTTAGGGCTTGGGAGTTGAAGCTAAACCCATAACAGTTTTTACCTGTGGAATAAGACCTTGCTGCTCCTCATGCAGCCCCAAGACACCTTCAGAGGGCGAGCCTGACTCTGTACATGAGAGGAAGGTCTTGGAGAGGATTGTGACTGGATACGAGGGTACCCAGACACCTTTAAGGCTTTCAAAGAAAATAGGCCATAAGGACTGAGGATCAACAGATTGAATGTTGATAAATATATTCCAAGGTATAGTGTTAAACCAGTTCAGTAAAGATGCAGCTAGAGTCCGTTACACAAGACATAGTGTCGCGGGTTTTTTGGTACTGCTGGATGGATGACACTGTCAGTGATTCTTTTCCACGTCTAATTTCTACGACTGTGTGGATGCCACCTTCCAGTCTCTGTTCCAATCCCCTCCCACTCTGGAGAGAGGGAGACTGCAATCTAAGACCTGAACCAGTTGCTCTAACATGGCATTGCACTGAGCTGGGCCATCTAATTGTAAAACTCCTCTGTATTTTTAGTGAATTTAACAATAGATATTTGAATCATTTAATAATACAGATTTAAATAAAGTCCTTTTGAGGCATTTGATGATTAATTGTTCTTAAATGTGCATTCTTTTAATCCTTTTAACAGCCAAACATGCCTTTAATATCGAGGAGTACAGCTTTTCTCAAGCAACCCTGGAACAGGTATAGGAAGCAAATTTTATTTCATAATTGTAAAAAAAAATATCTGTGGATTATAGTTTTATAGGGTAAAATTTTCAAAAGTGCCAAGTAAGAGCTGAAGTGCCATTTCCAAAAATGAGATAAACATTTAAGAACATAAATCCCATTGACTTTCAAAACAAAAGGCATGGAAACTACAACGATTGGAACAAAGCAAATCCCTGTCGTTAGGAATTGCTAACTTTTGATTAAATAAATTCCGTGTCATTTGCCTGCGCAAACTGGATAAATCCATGGATTTATTATTGCTGACACTGGATACTCTGCAACTTGCATCTGGTACAGGCTACTTCTTCTTCTGTTGTGTTATAGTAACAAAGAAATCTTAACTCTCCATTCTGAAGGGTCAGTGCAATATTCAGATACTAGTGCAATAGGTCCCACTTTTGTAATTCGTTTCCATGAATTTTCTTTGATTGGTAAGCACTCCAATCCTTGCAGTCTGAATGCTCTTACACTGAATACACTGTTGATGCCATTTTCGTCCGTTTTAGGTTTTTGTGGAGCTTGCTAAAGAACAAGAAGAGGAAGATAACAGTTTTGGAACCTTAAACAGCACACTTTGGTGGGAAAGAACACAGGAAGACAGAGTCATTTTTTGAGCTCTTTAAATACTGTCAGATTCAATAGATGTACACTACAGTTCACTTTTGTCTTTTTTTGTTTCTTGTAATGTGTGCTGAGTGCTAAGAAAGCAGTTGAGATTGAGAAAAATATCTGATTTGAAAAACAAAAATAATAATTGTAAACTTCGAGCATATTTCCCCTGCCTGGACTTATCCATCAATGTTATGCAACTGTGGGAGTGCCTTTATTTGTGAGGACTCTTATTGCTTGCATATAATTGGTCTGTTTTTTAAAATTTCTGATCCACTCGCCTTACTCTGTCCTATTTTGAAGCGATAATGGTAAATGACAATTTAGTCCTTTATAATTTCCTGTTTGTTTTGGTCAATCTGTGGTCTATGCTTCTAGAAACTCCAACCTTGAGCTTGTTCAGCTATTCAGTGTGTGATATCAGTATATAATTGCTCAACTCCAGGATCAAACTTCTGCCTTGCTTATCTTTCAAGAGGGAGCTTCCAGCAAAGGCAGGGGTCCACAGAACCAGGGCAGCACCACTAGAAAAGAGTCACAAAAATAGAAGTCAGCACAGAAGATTTAGCAATGCCAGAAGTCAGTGACTTGTCTGAGTTGGAGTAAGCATGTAGATATAAGGTGGATGTTTAAAGAAGTCAATTTTGAGCTTTAACTGCCCGATAGTGTTCTGGTAAGCTTTATCGTCACTTCCTCTACATAAAATTCCATGTAGACTAGATTGCTATACAGACAACTCACTTAACTGCCTGATTCCAGGGTTCATCATGGAATATGATGCTGGTTAGTTCAGCCTAAATTGTTTATATGATACCAAATACCGATACCTAAAATTCAGTTAACTTATATGCTGACTTTAAATTCCCATTGGATCCTGCTGATCAAAATCCTGATGCTCCTGTTTGGTATGGTATATCTCAGGTCAACTCTCCTTATCCAAAATAATCAGTATGATACCACAGTGCCTCCATAACGGATCCTGCTCCGTCACCTCAATTCTTGAGTTTATTTGCTGTATCTCAGTTTTAAACTCCTCCTCTTTGTGCCATATATGGACTTTAGTATCCAGATGACCATACTCGTTAGTCTCTTCTCATCATAATGTTCCTCCAGTCCTATGCTGCTTCAGAATGTGTAACCTGTGTGTGTGTTTTAACTAATCTCTGCTTTTTCCCTTGTTCTCTGCCCTCTTCTGGGCTAGCACCTCCCCGGCTGATCAGTAGGCACATGATCTATAGCATACTGATGAGGGACACAGCTGGGCACAGTATGAGCACAGTATGTATGGACACAGAATGAGCAGGGACACAGCTGTCACTTCACAAACTTGCTTGGAAGAGGCCAGAGGCCCTTTTTGCTTTTTTAAAAGAGGGGGGAAAGGAAATTCAACATTCATCGCTAAATAGGGCCCTAAATTATATAATAAACTCAGCTTGGGATCCACTCAACATAAAAATATTTACACATGAGTATAACATGGCACGTGGTTAACCATTATGAACCTTTTTAATGCAAATTGGCAGGTGTAACTCTAATCAGGTTACCTTTGTAGGTTGCGTAAAAATGTATAATGCATGCACTTGTACGTTTAAATGGGGTTTGCAAAGCTGGATAGGTTCCTTTGAGTCTATGTTTGTAAAAGCGTGACCACCAAATGAATATATCTTTATGGAATTTGCATAAATGTGAGCATTTCTAGTTCTATTCTTTGTTAAAACAATCTGTTTTGTTGAACACGTGTTCTAACACACGTTTAAAAGGCATTTCTTTAGGTGTGTTCATTTTTCGTGACCGTGAATTTACAGGCTTGTGCACCAATGCTTTCTAATCTATCTTTGTTGCAATAGTAATGAGGCAATACAATACCATGTCCAGTTCACTGAGAGTGCTTTCTTATTTCTATCATGCTCATTTTCTCTCATCATAAATCAAAAAGGGTAAACTCCAAAAGCAGATATTGTCTTGTCACTAAGAAAACTTTTGTTTGTTATCTGGCAAAATTGTTCTCTGTCGAAGAAATAATAAGAGAGCCCATGTGTGGTTCAGCATCCTCAGATCTGAGAGTAAGTATTAATCCTGCGTGTGTTCCAAAGAAAAAATCTTTGATTTAAAAATTGAAAGAATCAATTCATCTAATTGGCTATTTAATCTGAGCTTTTTAGAATCAAAATTTCAGGTTTTTGAACAATTGATTGCATTGTAGAATGTATTAATTGAAATGCACTGTGCAAATATTCGGTATATCTGAAGACACATGACACATAAGACATATCAGTTACATATGTTTACCTTAAGATTAGAAAATTCCTATCATCTTCCTTTCTAAAATGTTCAGAACTCAGAAAACTATGCTCTAAGGCAAACATTTGTGTATCATTGGGCAATAATTAATGTAAAATTGATTGCTTAATTCTGCCTGTGTAAATGCTTATGCCTTATATCTTGCCAACATACTATTATTTTTTTGCTTTTTATCATCTTCAAGGAAACCTGTTCTATAGACGAACTTTACTTTTCGATAAGCATTGGGTAGTGTTTGCAGTCTTATTTGGTTAATATGAGAAATCTGATGTAGCATTGTTTCACTTTTTTCGCATTCAAATACATTTTGAAAGATAATAAATCTAGTTAACTCTCACACAGTGGCACATTCAATACGTATCCGTGGCCAGCAGCAGACATAATAGCTTCAGAAAAACACAACTGGCCAAAAGGATTGAAAACTTAAATATAATATTGAACCTTTTCTTTCTCCAAAAGATCATAGATAATAGACTTAGGGAAATCCTCCATCCTCCTGCCTTTGGGCAGGTACGACATTTGTCTTATTCCCAGAACCAAATTTTTTCCAGACTGTACAGGTTAAATTCCCTAATCCTTCTCTACAAATTTATACATGCTAATCTTGACCTTCCTGCTCCCTAGAGTTTTACAATATTAAACAGGGGGGAGGGATAGCTCAGTGGTTTGAGCATTGGCCTGCTAAACCGAGGGTTGTGAGTTCAATCCTTGAGGGGGCCATTTAGGGATCAGAGGCAAAAATTGGGGATTGGTCCTGCTTTTGAGCAGGTGGTTGGACTAGGTGACCTCCTGAGGTCCCTTTCAACCCTGATATTCTATGATTCTATGAATATTATTCTTCAGGATGAAGTGCCCCAAATTGTAGAGTGCTCCATCTGGCCTCATTTTGCCCAGTCTCTAAACTCGTGTCAATTAGGTCACTTCTGCCTTTCAGTGTGTTCAGAATTACTCCAACATGGTGTCATCTATATTATTAATGTACAGTTTGCTCTTTCTTCTGATGTATGGCAATACTGTGTTTGCCAGGTTAGGACCCTTTGTTATACCTGATGCCTCTTTCCAATTTGATTCTCTTCTCTTTCATCTATAATTCCTCTGTTGATCTATAGCCATTCAAAGAGTTTTGTATTCTATCATAATAGCCAAGTAACATTGTTCTGACTTTTCTAATAGGGTTTGATTTTCTAATAGGTTTGTCACTAACTTTTTCATGATCCATATCAAAGGCTTTATTAGAATCTAGGAGAAATGTGCCTAGAATTGTTCTCAACTACACTGCAGTAACCCCATTGATGGTTACTCTGAATTTACAGATATAAGTGAGAGCAGAATTTGCCCCATTAAGTCCACTAGATATGTGGTGCCTAATAGATCTCAAAAACAGAGGAAATTATATGGAAGATCAAATATATTGAAATACAGTGAAAGACAATTGATATCAGCTTAAAACTTTAGAACTAAAATGTTACATTTGTGCTCAGTGGCTTTTGTTGGTATTTTAGTACTATAAATAATAAACTGAACTCAAACTGTACATAATAGAGAGGTAATACAAACCTCAGATGACAGTATAACAAGGAAGCCAGGTAGTTGTGGATTCTTGCTCCAGGTCTGACCCTGATGATGCTGGGTGACCTTGGACAAGTAACTTAGTTCCCCTGTCTATAAAACGGATATAGTAATACTTATCTACCTCACAGGGATGTTGTGAGGATCAATTAGTTAAAGTGTCTACAAAACTTTGAAGATAAAATTGCTTTAGTAGTATTATAAGGATGTATTTTTGTATTGGTGTTCTAATAACTCAGATTTTGCTCACATTATCATGAGAAATCCTTATTTAAAATATACTGTACAGTTGCATGTAGTTTATCTATATGATATGTGCTATATTCTTTCATAACAGGATAATTTTTATTTAAACATTGTTAGCATTCTTTTAATGTATATTGTGATATTAGTCATATGCTTTCTTGGGCATTTATGTTGTTTAATTTTGTACATGTTTATTTTTCTTTTATCATTTTGATGTATTTGTAAAACAATTAGCAATTATTTTTCCCAATAGAAAGTGCTGTTGAAATAAAGATGGCTGGATTGCTAATGCTTACGCCTTTACAATGTATCTGTTTTTCTGCTATGCTAAGCGTAAGGAATAATGGATAAAATATTCAAAAGCGCCAAAATGACTTAAGAGCATCCATCTTGTTCATCTTCAGTTGAACGTAGTCTCCTAAGTCACTTAGGGCCATGACAATGGGGTTGTATAGATGATATGTGTCTACCTGTGGTGCATTCAGCCATTATTTCTAGTAGCTGGAAAGTTCATACCTTCATGTCCTAAAGTGAATTTTCAATTTTTACGTATTTTTATCTTTTGCTATTTATTTAGTTCCCACGAAAAGTGCTGGACAGACACCCCCAAAGGCTGAGGTCCTCAAGCCACAGAACACGTACAGCAAAGGCAGCAACAACTCAAGTTTCTCCACGTTGCCTGGCCAGTGCGCCGAAATTTTATTCTAGAAGGATCACCTCCTATGGGGGGGGGGGTATGCAGTGCTTGTAGAGCGGCTGTAGGGTACATGCCCGGGTGCATACCCACAGGGTTCAAGTGTGTTTTGACGTGCGTAAGCAGTACCTCAATGTCTATGCTGCTATTTATACCCGTGCATGCAGTGTATATACTTTACTTGCCACCGTAAGGAGTGTGCTGTGTAGACATAACTTGAGAGAAGGGAGTTAATTCACCCTGGTCCATTTAATCCTTGTCCACCTTATTGAGACTTCCAAAAAGCTTTCCAATTATGGTGATGTGATTTGTGATGCGGACACTTAGGAATTGGACTGTGACCAGCAAATGCACTTCATGTAGTTCACTAAACCCGTCTTTGCGTGATAACCTTCTGTCAGTGCCAACTTGGGATTTATTTGAAGGGATACGTAACGTTAGGGAAACAAGTTGTTACTAAATAACTATGATAGGTTGGTGCCCAAAGGTATGTGATGATATAATGCCTGATTCTCCACTGCCTTGCACTTTATGTAGTTATTACCCCTTTTAAGGTGGATGTTTCATACTGCCTGTAAATCAGTGGAATTATATAAGTGTAAAACTGGCTTAAATGAGAGAAGAATTGGGCCTTTGTCCTATCACATTTTTTCACATAGGAAGCGGATGAGTTGAAGGTTCTGTAGGGGGCTTAAAAACACAAAGGTAAATAAATTCAACTAACGTTATCAGTAACCTGTTCATTAATATGTAACTATAAATGGTATATGTCCTTGGGCTTTACTTCAGACTTCAGGAAAACAAAGCCAACCATTAGAGAACATGCCCCCCCCCCCCGAGTGTGAAAAGGAAAACTAGTGTGAGAAGGAAAACTAAACACGTAGTAAATAATCCAATTATCACAGAGTACATTTAACTGTGGAGGGGGAAATGGTTGTGAATTTTAAAAAGGTGTCATTTTAAACAAATGAAATATAAATGGCCACAGGATGGCAGTACACTGCAAGACATGAGAAATGCTTGTAGTGTGTTTTGAAGAGATCTTTATTTGCAAAAGCAACAGTGAAATGATAACGGTAGGAGTGAGGGATCGTGGACTAGTTTATTCTAAAAATCAGATTAAAAATCATTCTAAAAAAAAAAAGATGCAAAGGTTTATGCTGCATTCAGTATTCTTTTTCACAGTCTGAATGATTTAGTCCTTTAGGTTTCAGTATCAAAAATCTCCATTACTCCAAAACTGGCTCCCTGCTCTGGTAGATAGTCTTTGTCTGTTCTTCTGCATGACTCTCCGGCCTCTCCCGGTTCCTACCCTACTCACCCTCCAATAGTCATCAGGCTCTTCTGCCTTTGAAAATCCTGTTGTTGGGCTCCGCATTTAATTTTAGAACATCCAAACTTTTAAATGAAGTGGCACGTAGCGCACCAGCAGAGAGATTCCAGGTGAGTGGAGAACTGAGGTGGAATTGAAGGGTTTAGGCAAGGGGGACACCAGGATCAGGAGAGCGAAGAGTAGTTGTTTCTGGGATTGACTATTCAAAGGGGAAATAGAAGAGCCAGGAGACTACTGGAGGCTCTTGGAGTCAGCCATGCAGGTCTCCCCACTAACAATCCTAGGTATTCCAAATGGAAAACACGTATTGGGACTGCCAGTCCCATGGATCTTAAATATTTTCTTCCCATAACCTACCAGTCAGATACATTTTTCCCAGGACCCCCATGTTCTATCTAGTACCTTCTCATTCCAGTTCTTTTGTGAACTTCCAGAAATAAGAAACCAGCACTGAAGTATTTCAGGCACTGCTGAGTGCTTTACTGTCTCTCTGGCTTGGATTGGAAAGAAAACTTCCCTTTATCTCACTGCTATGCATGGAGGGAGCAGGGGGATCCACTGGCCGGTTTTAGTCTTTTCCCTCATTGAGGGTCCTACAGGTAGGGAGAGGCTCCATTCTTTTTCCCTTGTGGATAACGGCAGTTCCAAACTGTCTCCAATTCTGGCTGCTCCCCCCTCTCCCAGTCTTCTCCTGGCTGTTTCAAACAGAGAAGTTGCATTTCTAGGGAAGGCTGTGAAAAGGCAACAGCAATTCTTTCTCAGGGTCTCTCAGGCGTGATAGCCTTTCTTGCTCTCATGGTGTGTCGCATGTAGGCTCTGCCTGGTAGATGTGTATGCCTACTGATTAGGGTTAGCAGTTTGTCACACACATGGTCCCAGATGGTGAAAGGATCATGCACAAGGTTCGCTTTGTCAGCATCCAGCCACTGATGACCTAGAAGTGGAACAGATGAGCATTTTTATGAAGCTATCATCTCGGTAGGCTTCTCAGCCTTGGTTCTCACATCTCCAGGGCAAATCGTGTGGGGAAATTCCCCTAGCTCTAAGATTTTCGGTTCTGTGAGGTAGCTGTAAGCCAGTTTGAAGGCTCTGCTCTACTGAGCATGCTCCAATGACCGGTCCTTCAGGAGCTCTGGAGAGCTACTGCCAGTTCTTTTTTACTAAATTTCCCTCGGCAGCTCCCGCCTAATGGTACTAACCGCCTCCGCCTTGTATCATCTGAGGAGTGAAGCTTCAGAATCTTTTAAGACACCATTTTAGTATCCTTTCATACAAAGTTATGAGGGCCCCTGAGTCATAGGCTCGAGACTAGAAGATAACTAAGCTTTGGTGCCTCGAGAGGATTTCCATGCTTCCCCACCCTGAAACCTGGCACGTCAGTGGTCTGCAACCTGCAGGAAAGATAAAGCCTGCCAGGAAGGCTGATGCTAGCTGAGGGGCATAGAGCTCACTAAGTCTCTTAGGCCTAGTCTACACCTAAAACTTAGGTAGACCTAGCTACATCATTCAGACCCGTGAAAGATTTTGCACCCTGAGCACTGTAGTTAGTTGACCTAATCCACAGTGGAGACATGGCTAGGTTGATGGAAGGATTCTCTCATCGACCAAAACGCTGGCCATCAGAGAGATGGCTTACCTACATCAACGGAAAACCCCTTCTGTCAATGTAGGAAGTGTCGAAGCTACAGCTGCTGTGGTGCAGACATACCCTTAGTACTAGAGCTGGTCAAAACTTGGAGTACCAACTCTGTGGGAAATTTCTGAAATACTTTTCATTTTGAATCAGAAGAAAAGTTGAAATTTCCCATGAAATGAAATTTCTGCAAAATATCATTTGAATTCATTGAAACAGTTTGTTTTTGACTGTATTTTTGTATTTTTTATATTTATTTTATAAATTGGTAATTGGTTTCGAGTTGGTATTCTACTTGGCTTGGAAATTGGTACTTGGTTTGCTCAATTGGTATTCTAAATGGGCATTTGTAATTTTTCTAACTGGGATTGTTACTGTAATATAATACTTTAAAAAAAATTGAAACCATAAAACATTTTGAAATGAAAAGTGTTCCATTCTGACTCCTACTCCCATGCCCTAGATTTCACCTGCCTTCCCAGCAGTCAGCACTGTCTCCAGTGATCTTATTGATAGCTGTGCTTTTACCAGCTTCACTGGGTCCTAGCAATCCTAATAGCTCTCCTAGAATAAATATGCATCAATTCTTAGAAACGCACCCTTCCTGATCATATCATGACCTAATGTAGACACTTCCTGTATCAGCAGAAAGGGTTTTGGTGTAGGTAACCTATCTCTCTGACAGAAAAATCCTTCCATCAGCCTACCTATGCCCACACTGTGGGTTAGGTCAACTAACTACAGTGTTCAGGGTGCAAAATCTTTCATCGCTCTGAGTGACGTAGCTAGGAGTGAAAAACCGAGAGTTCATGGTAGACAAAAAATTCAATGAAACAGAGCAAAAATATCAATGCAATTTCATATCAGTTAATGTAATTAACATAGGAGCATTTTACACTAACATTAAGTATCAGATCTTTCTTCAATAGATCCATGGGGGAGAAAGATTCTCTGTGCGTATATTTACCTGTCTGGTTGAAAGAAGTTTCCATTATCTGCCCCCAAAACTTAAAACGCCACTTCATGTGGTTCAAAGACTATACAGGGGTGGAGGGTGTTTGTTATACATATTTAATGTGAAAACCTTGTAATGAGATGCCTCCCATATTGACCAACTGAATTATATCACAATAGCCTTTAATACATTTAATAATAAATGTTGATACACTGAGTGCCATCCTGTTGCCACTGAAATCAACATGAAAGCTCCTATTGACTTCAGTAGAAGCAGAATCAAGTGGGTTTTAATTGAAAGCCTTATGATTTCTTTGAGCCATGCCAGTTTTTCAATATGGAATTGTAACGGAGTTTGACATTTTCACATCTGTTGGTTTAAAATTTTGATCCTAGAAGAGGATCCCCATTTTGCACAAAATCTTTCAAGGCCAGGACATTGAAAATAAATGTGAATGAGGGTTGTTTCACATCTCCTTTGGGTCATTTACAGTCTGACATTTAATTACACATATGGTAACTACTGAAAAACTTTGGGGAGAAATATAATTGCTGTTATTGATTTGGTACTAAGTGGTTTGAAGCAGAGAGTGACAAAATGATATTCAGTCAGGTGTCGGTGGTGTTATTCCCTGGGGGTGTCTTCTATCCACAATTGTATGTAAGGTTGTGTAAAT